GGTGAGAAGTTTGACATCATTATAGAAGCTCCATAACATTTTAAATTCCCTTGTTATCCAATATGGATGTGACCTAGGGATTTTGAATTGTAGGAGAGGCAGAGTGTTCCCACGACTGGAAACTGGGTCTAGGAAGTATTGGTAAGCTCTCTAGGTGTGGTTAAGTATTAAGACTGAAATTCAAAAAAAAAAAAAAGGCTGAACTTCATTGGTGACAACTCGTGTTTGAAGCAAGGAGAAATATATGGTTTTTTGTTAGAATTGAATGAAGGCAGGGAGAAGGTAGTTCTTAGAAGTGAAAGAGGGAGAGAAGAAGGAAGGAAGGAAGCAGGAGTTGGTACTTCAGAGTACACATAGCTCTGGGGTAGTTCTTGTCTTTGACTTTTGAGAATATAAAATTAATGGGCTCACAGAGTGATGGACAGACACATGGGATTTTTCATATAATTTCAAGAGGTTGAAGGACTCCCCAAAGTAGGATTAGAGACAGGACCTATCTGTCTCTTCTTTAATCTGGAACCATTCTTGAGTAGTTCCTTGTGTCTTAGGGTATATCCTGTGTAGAGACCTAGTCTTTTGTTTTGTTTTTTTGGTAACAACCTGTGCTAAACAGTTTTCCATAGTGACAGATACAGAGAGCAGTGAGGTGGCAAGATCCAGGTCTCTAGGGCCAGGCCGGCTGGTTTCACTACTCAATGCTGTGTTGCCTTGAACAAGTGTTCTATGAATACTTTCTCTTAAGGTTGTGGGAATGAAATGAACATATACGTGTATATTCCTGAGTATAGTGCCTGGCATTGAGTAAATGCTAGCTGTTCTTATTCATGCGTTGAATGACATTCTCAAGGGTGCATTGTGCAGACATCTTGGCAACCGTTGTGTGGTTCTGTTCTTTCCCTCATCCTCCTTTTCTTTATATCTAGGTTTCAGAGAACAGACTTGGCCGGTTTACTTGTCTGCAGTGTGGTGTAGGTTGGAAAACACTGCTCCCAAGGAGTGTCTCCCAAATGCTGTTCATGAGCTTGTGTTGGTCACAGTCTTACTGGTCTAAGAATGGGAACAGTGAAATGACTTTTATTAAATGCTCAATGCTCGGTTATGAAATGACACGATTCTTTCTTTTTGGTGTTGAAATGTTTTATTTTAAAAAGATGTTTTCTATAGGTGGTGGTTCTGCCATTATTGCTTAGTAAGTTAAAAATAAAAAGATAAATGTACTAGTTCCCCAAATATGTTTGGAGACTTACTGCGCATGAGAGCCAGTGGTCTCACGGACCTGGGCTCCGAAAGCTGCTTGTTTCACTTTGTGCTTTCATCTGAGTAATTGATGAACAATATCTATATCTACTTACTCATTAATTTAGTCATCGAATGAATGAACATTTATTTACTTCCTTCTGAATGCCAGACACTGTACTCAGTACTTTACATATCTCATTTCTCCCATCATGAACCTTGAGGCGTATCTTATTTTCCCTGCATACAGTTAGGAAATAGGGGTGGTGTAACCCACCCAGGCTATGCAGCTGTGGATGGCTTGCCTGCAGTCAGCACCCAGGGCTCCCTGGTTGCACAGGTCACGTGCACTCTTTTTTCTATCTAGTTGTTCTCAACTCCAGTGCTTTGGACCTGTTGTGTTTTAGCAGAGGATCCATAAATCCATAGCTTCGTTGAGTCTTTTTTCAATTGAGATATGCTGAAGGTACAATTACAATGTAGTCTTTTTTTTCTTTTTTTAAGTGGCCCTATGTTGCAAAAGTTTGAAAACATTTCTCCACCTTACTGACAATAGTCATTTGGACAATAGGCAGAAGTTCCTAATTTTGGGGGACTATTAAGTTAGGAATGAAACTACCACCTTGGTTGAGTCAGTGTGATTTCTCAGCCTTTGATGCTAGCTATATATCGGCTGCTTTCCAAGGAAAGAAAATGTGCAGCTGTGTGAAATTAGTGGCTACCCAAGAAACACTTCAAGAACTCCTGACTGGGCATAGAAAATAAGGTGGCATTTAAAGACTTACTACTAATGTGAGGTGAAAAGTTGAAGACCAAGTCACACATCGCTGAAATGGAAATTCCAAAGCTGGGCTCTGTGTCTAGTGCAGCATTTCTTAAATTTAACTGTGTATCACAGACATCTGTGGTGTTTTTTTTAAAAAGTACATAATCTGTACACAGCTGTAGACCGAATGAATGAGACCCTTTCACTTAGAAACCCACAAATACGTGCAGTTGGAAAGTTCCCCCATGTGACCCCGACACTCGGCCTGCTTCTGCTGTGGCCAGATGATCAGATGCCTCCTCACCAGCCTTGGGAAGGAGCCTTTGTTTTAGGGATAGTTGTTCTGAACACTCGAAATTTGCAGCTTGCACTTGTGATCATGGGTTTGGGGGTGGTAAATGAAGCAAGACGGAGGATCATTAGAGCTCCCCAAGGCATTTTTAATTTGTTTTCCCTAGTCATTCACTGAAGTGAGTTTCCTCGTCAGAAGCCCATTTTTGTAAATGCTTGATAATATACTCACAGTCCCCTTGTTCTGAATTAGTTTTACAGCAATTTAATCATCCAGGTTCATTTCATACTTGTCGTTAGTACATACCACAGTGACATAAGTAGACCATGGTGGGGAGGAGATGAGGGGCAGGGAAGGGGTGCTGTGTGGCCAATCCTTCACTCCTTACTGTGGCCTACAAGGCCCAGTGTGATCTACCTCCTATTTTGGCTCTCGCCAGTCTCTTCCTCATTTGCTGTGTATCAGACGTTCCTATTTTCTTCTAGTACCTTGAAGATGCTAGTCTCATGTTTCCTATACCCCCAGATCTTTTGGTGAAAATTCTGCCTCTAACCTATTGGGTCTCAGCCCTTCTTAGAGAGGTTATGTGACCTGGTTGTGTGACCAGGGAATCTTGTCCTGGACACTGGTCACCATCTGAAATAATTTCATTGTTTATTGTTTGTCTTTCCTATTTTAGTGTTAGCAACACAAGAGCTAACGTCTGTCTTGTTTCCCACTGAACTCCCAACATCCGGGGCAGTGCCTGACGAATGGGTACACGTTAAAGGAAGGACTTTTGGGCCTATCCTTCCTATAGAGCTTGTGTCCACATCTCTTCTTTTCAGTAGCTTAGAACTGTAGCAGTGTCCTGGACAAAGCTAAGTGTACTTGAGGCTCATGACTTTTCTAAATCTGTCATATTCTAACACTCCCCTAGAGCTTTTTCCCTGCCCACATGTTGTGGGTTAGAATGACAGCTTATTTGGAAATATATGTTTATAAAGCTCAATTAGAGGATAAATGATCTGTTTGGGTCATAAACGTCAGTCTCTCAAGTGAATTTTTGTCTTCTGGGCAAGAGCTGTGCCCTCGACCCTGGGCACTAAAGAACATCTTGAATTTGGGAGAATTCAGCCTTTTTGTCTCTCCTGCCTTCCTTTGCTACAGAAATACTGTAGTCTGGGCACAGGCAAACTTGTGGACTGAACTGACTCTCAGAGACCGAGTGGTGTGCTCTGCTTGGACAGTTTAACAGTGTTTTTAAATATTATGTACTTATGACGCTTCTGAAGCTTCATGACCCTCTATGGGTTAGAGAAGTCTTCCTTGTGGACCCCTTTGAAAATCTCCTTAGAAGATATACACACATCATGGCAATTTTACCTGTAATCTAAGAATTTGCTGAATGACCTCCATGTGCTCTAAAATTCAGTTTTGGGGATTTAGATTGATTTGTTCATCTGTCACAGCTGGTCACAGAGCTCTTCCATGGCTGTTTCTTTCTGACTTAGTCTCCTGTCTTCTGTACCCTCTCTTGTTTTTATAATAACCTGCTGGACCATCTCAGGCCCAGAAGAGGCGATATTCTCCAGGAGTCCAGGTACCCAGTTCTTGACTCACCACGGCCATCCCTACTCCTTATGTGTCCAACCAACATTTGCTACTGTTTACAATCCATGTGGCTGTTGTCGCAAGAGTTACTGGTCCCTGATTTCAGCTGCATTGTCACCTTGCATGTTGACTGTTTAGGACAATGAAGAGCTCACTAAAGCGGCATGTCTCATGTTTTCGCTTTCATCACCTCCCTGTCTACATTGCCTTAACCATGGATTTGTTTGGAATGGTTACTTCACTGTTGCTGTGGATGGTTTTGCTCCTAAAGCTACTGGAGAAAAGGAACCTTAGAAGTAGATGTAATCAAAGCACCTCCTGAATGACCTCCATGTACCCTAGAATTCTGTTTTGGGGATTTAGATTGGATTAGAGATTTAGATGAAAAGAACTAGAGATGGGGAAACTTTCAGTGGGAAAACTGTCCTGAGTATTATTGGGAGATGTTATATGTGGGTGAAACTGAAGTGGGCTGGAAGGCCTGTGACTAAGAACAGTCATTATGGGTGAATACCATACAACAGCCCCGTCTGCCAATGCCCTTTTGAGACCGACTTCAGTTAGGGTCAGATGCCTACAAGATTTTAAAATTAGGAAAGAACTCTCCTGAATGGAAAAGATCCCCTGATGAAACAGATTTCAGAATACCTGCTGTGTACAAAACACCCTGGCAGGGGCAGGGTGGCAATAAGGTGGAAACATGCCAAGATGCATAAGAAATGGTTTTCTTCTTCAAGAAGTTTACCTGGCAGTTGAGGAGATAGGCATATACACACAAAAAGACAGTCATCAACCTTGGGCAACATATAAGTGCTCAAGTGACATGGGGGTAGGGTTGGGGTGGGGGTGTATATTCAGGCAGAATCCAGAGGTTTAAAGCAGTGTTTTGGGCCTACCCCAGATCTGTAGCAAGGACAGTTCCTGAAGGCAAGTGGTTCAGTTGCTTCTTGGACTAGTAACCCTGAGTTCCTGGTGATGAGGCAGAGGGGTTGCTGCTGCTGGTTTGCTGTGAGGGGCTCATCTTGTATGTTTAAATTCCTGTTGCTGTCTGTGTGGCATTCTTCAGAGCACGTCTTTACGGTTCCCTCTGCTTTTCCATCCTTGCTTTCCCAGCGAGTGTTTCCCTATGTCTCAGCCATGGTGAACAATGGCTCTCTCCGCTATGATCATGAACGGGATGGGCGTCCTACAGAACTGGGGGGCTGTACAGCGATTGTCCGCAATCTCCACTATGACACCTTCCTTGTGATTCGATACGTCAAGAGGCATTTGACGGTGAGTCCCTGACCTAGATCAGTTGGAGGTGTGGGCTTTCTTGCTCCTGCTCGGTGGCCTGGCCCTGATTTAACTCTGCTTTTTATTCTAGATAATGATGGACATCGATGGCAAACACGAGTGGAGGGACTGCATTGAGGTGCCTGGGGTCCGCCTGCCCCGGGGCTACTACTTTGGTGCCTCCTCCATCACTGGGGATCTCTCTGGTACCGTCACATGTGCTCTTCATTTGCTGAGGCTAAGGTCGCATCTTACTAGCTAGCCCCTGATGCGATGTCCCAGGGAAGATGCTGGGAAGCAAGTACCTGAGAGTGCTTAACTGCCTGCTTTCCGGTACACAGGTCCGGTCCTAGGCGACCCAGCTCACTTGTCTCCAAGAGATGGTTGGTGCTAATGGAAAGCATGTTAGCCTTGTCATTAAGCTAGCTCTTCCAGTCTGTGCTTTGAGTTTTCTACTTAGTTCGGTCCCCTTTTCTATACTCAGACTCCTCTTCTTCCACTTCCTAGTGTGCTTAGTTTCCATTCTCTTAACAAACCTATCTGGACTCTGCCATCCTTCTTGTCAACCCCAGACTCTCCTTTGTGCTCAGACTTTTAAATATGTCACGCTTCTGTTTCCCAGCTATCCATCTCTGTACCATGCTGCACTCGGATTTGTATCCCCACCATGCTCTTGGCACAATTCTTTTTTTTTTAAAGATTTATTTATTTATGCATACAAGGACTGGGGTACAAAACATAGGTGTGGGGGGTGGGGGGGCGAGGGGGAGGGGTAAGAGGTTTCACCAGAGGAGGGAAGCAGAACAGCTGGTCTACTGAAATGCACTGCTGAGGGGAGCAGCGGGCAGGTCAGGAGAGGTCTGCTGCACCATGTGGGTCACCTCCGGGGTGGGGTTCGAACTCATGTTGCAGTGGCTGCAGATTGCTTCATTGTTCTGTGCTTTAACTTGTGGCGCCACCAGGGAGGGCCTTGGAAATCTTAAATTTTAAAATGAAATCTGATTTTTTAAATCCCAGCAACTGATTTTTTAAAAAATCAACTTTGCTAACAGACTTATACTTCTGTATAACAGTGCTGTTTGATGAGTTTTGATGAACTTACACCTATGTAGCCACCATCACAGTGAAGGTGTGTTTAGATTATTTTCCATCACTACAACAAATCTCGCTGTCCCTTTGCAGTATTTGTTTCCTACCCTGAATCTATTGTTCTGCTTTATGTCACTGGTAAGCTGTCATAGGCAAGACAGGCTGTGGCAGCAGACAGGCCAGAACTGTGGGACGGAGCTCGCTTTGGCACAGGGTGGGAACACAGGCTTGAGACCTTTGCTGTATAATCTCTTCCTATGACTCAAGTGAAAAAGGTTTGTCAACATACTTTCTTTTGGGCTCACAGGTTCTAGGACCTGATAGGAGTTATTCATTGTTAGGATGTCCAAGGAAAATACTATTTTTGTTTATCCTAAAGAGTCCTTTCTCTAGGTTTTTATTGATAATACCCACATATGTCTGTGTTCTCTGTCCACAGGACATTCTGAAATGCAAATTTTGTCTTGTTCTTAAAGTCTTCCTCATTGACATCTTACTTGTTATACAAGAGATTTTTAAAAACTGCTGACAAAATTCAGATGTATCCCAGCTTCCCAGCCTCTGATGTCCCTACTTTGTGAGGAATATTGTCTTGTATTTGTTTGTTTGTTTGTTTGTTTCATAGAAGAACTGGGGTGTAGGCCAGAGATATAGGGGTAGCAGTGGGTGAGGCCATGTGGTCAGAGTGGGGAGCAGAATAGGTAAATCTATGGAAACACACTGCTAAGGGGAGCAGCAGATGAGACAGGAGAGGCCTGCTGGGCCTTAGGTGTAGTAGATCCCAGGCTGAGGCTCGAACTCATGCCTTAGAGGTGATAGTGCTGTGACTTAACCTGTAGGCCATCACGGAGGCCCTGTCCTGGATTTTTAACCTGTCCCATATTTTAAACTCAGCCCTGATAGTGAAAAATACTACTAATTGAAGTCAAATTCAGTTTATTTTCTTGAGCAGAAGCCTACTAAATATGCTGGCAGTGCAAGTTGCTGTTAATACCAACTTAATGATAGAATATGGCAAGACATCCAGCCCCCAGTATCCTAGTAGCAATGAATAGCCCCAGCACTGATTTGTGGTCTCTTAGTAACAATTCTAGCTAGAAGGAAAAGAGATCTTCTTGGAGAAAAGACTAATGGGAGAGCTAAAGAGAGATATGTATAAGCCAGAAATTACCCAGAAAAGCAAGGAACATAATACAAAATTTCTGGGTTCATGTAAAAGGACTCTGGGCTCCCAGCAACAAAAATGGGTTGAGTTGAGCATCAGTAAGGTGCAACTTCAGTGTACTGAAACACATCAAATATATTTGAATCTATGAACTTATAATCATATTTTTAAGAGGGAGGGAAAATTTCCAGTTCCTAATTCCTTGATCCTGCCTTTGGTTATTTTAGTGAGGTTCAAAGTCCCAGTTACAAGGACTGTGAAGACTTAGCATTCTCTGGAAGAGAATTGTGTTCCATGTCAATACTTATGCCTGTTCATGGGCCACTAAACAGGACCTGTCCCCGTCCTGCTTGCATGCGTTCTCCCCAGTAAAGGGAAGCTGCAGTGGTTGTGTCTCTTTTCACTATGCTAGGTGATTTAACATACAGTATAGGATTTATTTTATTATCTCTAAATTTTTTAATTATATAGATAATTCATACTTAAAAGAAAAACAGCTGAAATATGGGATTATAGAGAATATTCCCAGTGCCCTATCCTTATGTTTAGATGAGAAAATAGAGGTTTCAGTTCTTTTTTCAATATTGTAACTAGTTAGTTGTGAATCAGAGGCTTGAAACAAAATACTCCAGTATTTCTCTTTGAGGCAGCTTGAGGAACCCTTGTTCTTTTTATCCTCTAGATAATCATGATATCATCTCACTGAAGTTGTTTGAACTGACAGTGGAGAGAACCCCAGAGGAGGAGAAGCTGCATCGAGATGTGTTCTTACCTTCAGTGGACAACATGAAGCTTCCTGAGAGTGAGCACAGGGGATCCTGGGAAATAGGCCATGGTCAGGGAGGTCATGGTGCTGGGGGAGGTCTGCAGTGACTTGCTTTTCCAGCTTACAGGGTTGTCTCCTTTCTGTGTTCTTCCCTGAAGAACATGGGGCATGTGCTCCGGCTTCTCCCCGTCTCCATGTTACAGATGAGCAGCAGGAGGGCTGGCGGGTTTGTAAACTGAGGCATCTGGAGCGTCTAAGCTCTGGCTCACTGACATCGGTGTTAGAGATGGGGGACTTGGTAGTTTGTTGGTTGTTCCTTCCCAACTGGGTGGGCTCCCAGATTCTGACTTGCTTCTGTCTTGCTTCCTCAGTGACAGCCCCCCTGCCGCCCCTGAGTGGCCTGGCCCTCTTCCTCATCGTCTTTTTTTCGCTGGTATTTTCTGTGTTTGCCATTGTCATTGGTATCATACTCTACAACAAATGGCAGGACCAAAGCCGAAAGCGTTTCTACTGAACTCTGCTGATGCCACCATTTCTGACTGTCACCCATGAAGTGTGGGAGACCAGGCACTGGCCTAAGCACACAGCCCGGCAGGTCTTTTCCGGCCTAGAAAATAGCTGGTCAAGGACTTGGTTCTGTCACTGGAGCTTTGAATGCAGGGACGCTGCATTCCCATGGTCACCTATGGGGACCTCTCACTCTGGTTCAGGAAGCCCACCCACCCCAGGGCAATGCTGCTGTGACGTGCCTTTCCCTGCAGTCTTTCCACTTAGGAAGGAAGAAGGATGGAGAGACTATATGCGGTTCTGATACCAAAATCACAGAAAAAAATTATAGCCCAGGCTGCTGCCTTGTGGACTCAGAGGGCCCTTGCACTCATTTTTAAATCTGCAGAGAACAAAACACTGATAACTCGTCATATGTTTTGGCCACTCATTCATTGGTCCACTTGAATTTTCTTGGAATTCTGGGTAGAAAGTCTCTGCCTTGCCTTCCTTTCCCTCCATTCTTTGTCTTCTCCCAATGTAAGCGGAGTTGGAAGAGACATTTGGCCGCCTCCCAGGCCGGATTTGGGACTACAGAACAAATAAGTGACTGACACTCATCAGGCGGCCACCAGTGAGAGGACTTTCTGCACTGGCTTGCTTTTCTAGTCCCACGCCCCACACCCCCCCCCTTTTTTTTTTTTTTTTTTTTTTGTTAGCATGGTTCTTGGTTCTATTGATGTGTTTGTGGTCTTCCCAAGTAGGTCCCTTTAGGTCCTCAGTTGAGTTTGGCTGAAAGTTGGTGTGCAAATCAAGAGATGTTTGGAAGATCTCATGGATGCCGTGGAATTAACTGTGAAACTGACCAGCTTCACATTTGACACCTAAAGCAATGTTTGCTGTGAATTGACCACATGGGGTTATTTCTGGACTCGGAGCCTGCTTAGCTGCATGTTTTGTGTTTATCATGATTTTTGGAATTCCTCTTTGAGTGTTCAAAATGTAAGGACACTTTCTTATAGCCTGGGCTTGGAAACTCCCCAAAGAGGACATTTGGCTTTTTCCTGGTGGATTAGAAACAGCCGCTGTTTTCATGTTGCAAATCTGGGAGATCCTCATCATCCGTGCCTGGAAGAGTTCATTGTCACTGAGCAGCAGAGCTGGAGTGTCATCCTCTGTGGGCCAGCCCATATTCCACTGCCTTATCTGACGGGGGGGTCACGTGCTGCTCACCTGTCTGCCTGTGGTTAAATCAGCTCACAGGCTGCAGTCTCCCTGGAGGGCCTGGAACTTTGAGCTCTCTAACTGTGTGCTTTTCTGTAGCCTAAGGGAAATTCTTAAAATGGCTGATGGAAACCAAACATGAGCTTCTGACTCAGTGTCCTTTCTTCTAGGGCTGGGTTTGGGGGAAGGTCCAGGCCTTTTTCCTCAAATCCCACGTGGCTTATCTGCCTTCTCCCGGATGGGGAAAGCCCTCCAGTGAGTTCAGAAGAGAAGGAAGTGACCGTGGCTGGCCTGGCTTTCATCTTCCGGGGCTTTCTCATTCATACCTTTCCCACGCGCATCACAGGCTGTGGCTGCCTCCTGCAGATGGGAGTAAAGTGTAATCCATCTAACACCTACTTTACTGCAGGTCAGCCCCAGTAGCCAGAGAACAGACTGTGACCTTGATCTTGACCTTAAGACCAGGTAGAACTAAAACAAAAAAACAAAACAAAAGCTGTTTGTTCTGTTTTGATTTCAACAGGAACTTGGATAGATCCCAGTGATGGGAGAACCCAGGTGGACTTCTGAGATGGGCCAGGAAATGGTGTAGGAAGAGGGGATTTATATGTCGGGGTGCGTGTGTGCGAGAGAGATTGAACTTGAGTTTTGTATGACTCTAGCTTATGTGTGTTCCTTGAGGTTTTTTAAAGAGTACAAGACAAAAATGAAATGTATTCCTGCCCAGCGTGGGACAGCCTTCAAATTGTGTGGAGCAAGGAAACTGTCTGACCTCATATTGCTTGTCCCACCCCAGCTCTTGCTTTTTGTTCTAGAAGCAAATAGTTCCCATTGTGAATGGGACCAAATATTGTTCTGAAAACTGTGATCCCAGATATATCCTAGAGGAGGGAGAGGCCTGGTGCTGGTATGGCTCTTTTGTACACTGACTCTAGATGTGTGAGCAGGCCCAGGCAGGCTGCATACCCCACATGAGTCATTTCCCTCCTCACAGTCCTCACTGCCCTCTCTCTCCAGAGCATTTCAGTGTGGAAGAGCACTAGATGTGGTGGTACTCCCTGTCCCCTTGGGAGTCTGTCTGAAAGGCTGGCACTTTCAGACTTCCATTTTATTTCCAACCCTCCTCCACTCGCTCCCAAATTACAAGGTAGTTCTTTGTTACAAAACTTGTTTATTTTGATGAAAAATCACAACTCTGTCCTTGTTAGAAGTGGTTTCCAAGCAGAATGGCCAGGTTATCCCTCACCCCTTGCATCTATCCTGGAAGGTAGAAACAAGTAATCGCTGGGAAACCCAAGGGTTGGGTTGATGTCGGAGAAATGCCAGGCAAACATGTGAGAACTAGTTTTGTGGAACTGGAAGTTCTGGAAAAATATCTCTCAGGTGATTCATGGGTTCTTGGAGGAATTTCAACTTATGGTCTATTGTAGGCTTTGGGTTCACAGGCTGGGTGGTGATCATGGTAGCATTGGGATTGCTGGAACCAAAGATATTTTTGAATGTTTTCATGGGAGCGTTCAGCCGAAGTTCAGGTTTGACCCAGTTCATGGCCAAATAGTTCTAGAGAGAACAGGTAACAGTTAGCTTGAAGTAGCAGCCTGATTGCCCTCTCCTGAGTCATCCCAAGAGCAGCCAATACCTTTGTCTGTCCCCATACTTGTCACTCACCGGAGTTGAATAGATGAAGTTGAACAGTACAAGCACAATAACCATGATGATTGAGGTGATAATGATCTTGTAGCGATAGCGTTTCCAGAAAACATGGCAGAAACTTTGAATGGGTGAATGCAGCCATATGGAAAAGCTGTTGATGCGTCTGTCCATGAGCAGAAGAGAGGTCAGAGAGTGGAGGGCAGAGGGAACTTTCAGGTCCAGTCATCCAGGGCAAAGAGCTTTTTTTTTTTTTTTTAAATTTATGCATACAAGATCTAGGGTATAGGCCAGAGGTGTGGGAGGGTGGCAGGGGGTGAGAAGCACAGGCAGGTTGACTGAAATACAGTGCTGAAAGGAGCAGTAAGTGAGACGGGAGAAGTCTGCTGCACCATGTGGGTCAGCTCCCTGGCCGGGGATTGAACTCATGCTGCAGTGGCTGCTGATAGCTTCATAGTGCTGCGCTTAACCCCTTGCACTACCAGGGAGGCTCCAAGAGCTTTCCTTTTATTAAGCAGTTTCTGTTTGCTACCTCCCCTGGCCCCCACCCCAGTCTGCCTTTTTGTTCCTGGGTAAAGCAACACTGATCTGGAGCAGAGGGAACAATTCTCTCTCCCTTCTTGTAGGCTCACCAGACCCCACTCAAACTGCTGGGTCCTCCAGCTCAGCTTTGTGAAGGGGGAGGGGAATTTAATGCCTTTGCCTTACTTGACCCTTACATGGGAGGATGAAGTGTAGGGTATTGGTTGGGTTCTGATTGGCCTCGTCCTGCCGGCTTGATTAAAGCATCCTTCTCTGACAGAATCTCCAGGGTCATCTTCACTTTACCCTACAAGCACCACCAGTGATGGGAGGCCGAGTACAGATAGCAAGAGCAAAAATAGTTTTATGGCCTCTTCCCAGGGCCCAGAAAGGAAAAGGGATTTAGATAAGGCCCCCAGGAATCTGTAGAACCAAGATGTGGCACAGCAGTCCCACCCCTTCTCCGACATGTTCCTACCGACATGCGCCATTTGCCGTTATCGAGGACCTGGCAAGGCCACCAGCCAGTTACAGTCTTCTTTCTGAAGAGGGAGAAGTACTGGTACTGGAGGAACTGGGGCAGGTTGGGCTCAGCGTCCATCATCCTGGTGGAGCACAGTTTGGCGTGCCGAGCTGGGAGGGGCATGTCAGATAAATCCAGCTCCAGGACCCCTGAGCCCAGAAAAACACAGTCAGCGAGAAGGAGCTCCGTGCCCTGTGGCTACAGGCCCCAGGCCAAGACCTCACCTAGGAAGTCATCAGGGGAGAATATGTCATTGTCCCAGACCTGGATGATGAGCCGGGCTGGGAACTTCATCATCCTGGGGTCCAGGCTCCAGACGTAGTCCTAGATGGCAGGAGGGCACGTTAGCAGCCTATCTCCTTTGCGATTTCCCGGGGTCACCTCAGTAGCCCAGCAATGGTGGACTTCCAGAAAGGATTTTCACTTAAGCTCACATGCCAAGTGTTCCAGTGGTGTAGTTTATAGGTCTCCAAAGGAGGAGGGGGAGGGGGACGATACCCCACCCTCAGACCTGACCTTCTGACTCAGCACGCACACACGCTCAGCTGCCAGGTAGTCCAAGGTGAAGATGAACCTCCAGTTGAAGTGGGCTTCCCCCGTCATGCAGCGGTAGTGGATATCTGTCTTCTGCATGTCCTTCTCTAGCCCGAATAACCACCTGGGGCCAAATTCCTTTCACCTGGGATCCGTGTGTGAGATCCCCACCCCCCAACCCCCCTACCCTCAGGTGGAGGCTTTTTGGGAAGGCCACCCAGCAGTCACCAGGCACAGGTAAAGTGGAGAGATGTCACTTCCAGGATCAGGAGGACCCATCAGAATGACAGAACTGGGGAACTCTGAGGCACACTGCTAGAGCCCTGCCTTCTTCCTCACCCTTTGATGTAGATGTCACTCATCCTCTCAGTACTTAAGCTGATGTCACACAGGTCCACATTGGCAGTTTTCCAGATGATACAGCGCAGCTCATACCTGCAGTCATGGTGCTCTGAGGCTTTGCTGGGGAATAGCTCCCAGGCTGCAGCCTTGATGAGGCCAGAATGGCCTAGAAGGCCACCTTCCATGCCCACATCAGTGCTGATGCATTGTGGGAACCCAAGAGAAGAAACCCAGGGTTCCCAGGAAAGGAAGGAGAATGACTGCAGCTTAGCTCTGGAGAGTGCTCGCATGGCACCAAGAAGCCTGCTCTGTCCAGTGCAGTGCTTGGGGGCGGGCGGTCACTTACCTTTTAGGCTTTCTGGGACTGATGTTGACTGGGGGAGCAGGAGGCCCAAGCTTCTTGGGGAAGATGTCCACCCACATTTGTACCTTCCCCTAGAGTGGAGGTGAATTAAGTGTTTGCTGACCTCTGATCTCCACAGGCCTGGGAACCCTGGCTGGGATTCTAAGAAGTGCTGAGGGAGGCTGTGTTCCCAGCACTGAGTGGTGGGGTATACAGGCATCTGTAGGTGGAAAGGACTCCTGGCAGAAAATCAAGCAGATATCCGCCAGCTTCCCCTTTTTTCTTTCTGGCTGGGAGAAGAGTGCAGTGAGGTGGGTGGGGTATGGCAGCTTTGAACCTGACAGCTGTCGTCCTGGGATTGCACTTCGAATGAGCCTGTGGGGTTAATGCCCCTTGCAGGGTCTGCTCGATGACCCGTTTGAGCAGCACTCCAGAATGGGACTGGGGTTTCATTCACTAACTGGCCCAGGGGCCCTAACTTAGGATAAATCAGATCAGATTTCCAAGTCAGTTTATATTGTGTAACTATGTCCTAAAGATACCAAGCTATCCACAGAGCACAGAAGTCAAAAAATGGTGAGAAAAAGTGAAGCAGTGAAAGAATGCCAGTTGCTGTATGTTCTCTCAAGCAATCTGACCCAATATTATTCTTTTATTCTTTTGAAGCTGACTCCACTGAGAAAAGAGATTTAATGAGAATGGTTTTTTAAATGCTCAGCAGCAGACTTTATATCTAGAATGTGGTGTGAGCTTGAAAACTTTGGAGAATGAGATGAGCCATTCTGGTGATTGGAGGGTAGATGATAATTAGGGTGCCTGTGGGGAATTTTTTTCTTGCCCCTCTGTTGGGGGGTTCCTTGCCAGGGAAAGAAAACAGCCTACAATTAAAAGCCAAACCAGAGTTGTAATGTCTGTGCATCTGACCTCAGGTCGCACCTCCCCACGCTTCCTCAGGAGAGACTAGGTAGTGCTGGCGGTGGCTTGGTGCTGCCCACAGCTGATACCTGGGCCTGGGTTTCTGGTAGCTGACTTTCCTGCTCCTGGCGTCCTCTGTTCTAAATGCAGCTTCTTGCCCCATAACACACGCAGCGCATGCTAGTCTGTCCACGTGCATCTGCAAGTGCTTGGCCTGGCCCTCCCCATCCTCGTGGTCTGTGTCCTGATAATGGACGCCCCTGGCTCCTGATCCAGCCCTCCAGGCTCCTACCTGGTCGACACCTGGCTGGCTGTCGCTGTACAGCGTGCGAGTCTCCATGTGCTCAGGCACCAGCCCCTCGGTGTGCAGGAGATGCAGTGCAAGCCGTTCTTTCTTAGGTCCCAAGAAAGGAGCTTTAGGGTCCACGGGCTCTAAATTGGAAAAGATTGAGAGGAAGGGGTCACAAGGTCACGAGTCCTTCCACTGCCCAGGCACTTCCCCTCCCACCCCAGCCTCTGAGCCTAGTCTGCACAGTGATAGGTAGTCTCTGTAAGGGACGAGGGGGTTCAGAGGGGCTTCTGCTGGCCTCAGAGGCCTAAAGCTATGCTTCCTGGCAATGTGTTGACCTTCTCACCAAAGCTTTTCAGTTTGAAGTTTTTCCCATTGTAGAAAACCGAGTCTTCCTCAGGGCTGAACTGAGGGGCAGGCACTGCTTTCCGCTTGGCGTGGTGTTCCAAGAGGACACTTGGGGTTATCTGATCCCGCCACCTGAAAGGCCCTGAACTGGGGGTTTTGAGAGGAAAAGGAAAGAGGCTTGGGTCCTGGAGAACACTTTTCTTTGAGCTGCAGGATGACCAATGGTGAAATCATGAGTGGAGGCAGGTTCGGGCCCTGTTTCCCCAGCCCAGGACGCAGGCACAAGGAAGCAGTGGGCTCTCCCCACCCTCCTCCCCTGCACCCTGGCCCTGTTCCAGTCCACTCTCACATGCAATAGGATTTGGAGAGCCCACAACGAGCTCCAAAGCTGGATAGGAGTCGGTTTTCGAGATCGATGACTGTGGTTCCAATCTTATCATCAGGTGAGAATAGGTCAAAATCATATAACTGGATCTCTAGGTCCTTCTCCAGGGGGATGGTACAGTTCAGTTCAAACATCCTAAGGATAAGGGTGACTCAGAGCCTGGGCCGTGTTACCTACATGTCTCCCTCTGTGGCACCCCAGCCCCATGCACCCATGCTCCACCCCTTTAGAGGGTAATGGTCACTGTGGAGAGCTGAGTCAGGATGGCCCTTGTCTGCCAGTTGCCACCCCCCACTTAATGGCTTAAAATAACTTTTAATAGGCCTCTGACAGGGAGGGTAGAACTAGGCCGCTCATCCATCCAACTTCTATCTGCTGAGCGCCTAGATACCACGCTAGGAAGTTGGAGGCCAGAAGGGCAGGCAAGGCTTTTCCATCCAGACCTTTCTCCTGCATGGTGTGGAGGGGAGAGGAGAGGCGGGATTGGGTGAGTTTGGGGCAGCTCACATGCCAAAGATGGGATCCAAAGTATTGGCCTTGTACTCATCCCGGTTGCCAAGCGTTGTCTGTCCCAGTTTCAGAATCACATAAGGGTCACACTGGAGGTCAGACGTGAGGAAAGACAGGAAATGGAGAGTCTGAGTGGGTCAGGGAGGGTGGGGGCTGGCAGAAACAAACCCCTTGTCCCAGGTATAATCTCTGGGGACTTGGTCATCTGGGTGTCAGCATCTGGAGGGAGTCCCAGACACGGGTTTAGGGCAGAGTGTGGGAGGTGCCTGGTATGGGGGCGCCCAGGGAAGATGAGCCCGTGGCTGGGATTGCATGTTACCAGGCCATTGTAGTCTTGGGGCTGCAGGTTGATTGCTCGGACCACATATACCCGCACCACGCACTGCTGAGGAAAGTCCTCTTTCTCGGGCCAAGTCACGAACTGGCGGGGGGGTATCGGGGACGCTGGGTTCTCAGGAAAGGGGTAGACACGGAAAAGGCCCTATGTATGTTGGGGAGAGAAAGTGTTGCCACCTCAGCTTGGCAGTGCCAACCTTGCTGTGGCCCAACTGGAGGGGGAAGTGTCCCTAGTCCAAGCTCAGGAGAGGTTAGGCTGAGTGTGCGGGACAGAAGGCTGCGGGGAAGACAGGAGATGTGAATTCTTCTGCTTGTATCCATCCTTTCAGGTCTGAACTTGTCTTCTCAGGTGCTCAAGGTGTTGAGAGGGCAGAGAGGACAGAGCTGGGAGTGAGAAGACCCTCCCCCCGCCTGTTAGAGGTGGTCACTCTGAATCCCTCCATAGGTCGGTGTCTGCTTCCTTAATTCCTAAACACTTTTTCAAGCCCCCCTGCCCCACCTCATGGGGAGCACATAAAGCCAGGGTTCTTACTAGAGTCTTCTAGGATACAGGGGCTCAGGAAACAGGCACCCAGTCGGGGACAGACACATACCTTGAACTCCCCCACTGCAGGGCTGTCCACTTTGGGCTGTTCCTGGTAGAGTTTGAAGGTCTGGCAGAAGTCCTGCAGGCCTTGGAAGGCTGGCACAGCCTCCAGCTCACAGTCATACACCTGTGGGAGAGTGTGGGGCCTGGGCTGTGGGGGCAACAGGCCGGGGTTTGACCCGGGAGGACAGCACCTGGGGTGAGGGCATGAAGGGACGACCACTTTCCGTCTGACCCCAGCGTATCTGCCCGTCAGTGGCCGGGGTCAGCAATGGCCTCTGCAGGGTGTGCAGGCGGAGATGCATCCGAAAGTCTGGTGGAGACAGTGGGCAAATGCCCCGTCTGCCCCCAGAGGAGCCAGGGCAAGGCGTGCTGGCCTCTCCTAGCAGGTTGTATTCCATCTCTCTCAGCAGTCCCCCCTCCTAGGGGCTTCCAAACCTTCAGGGTATGGTAGTCTTTGTACTTGTAGATGACGGAATTAGGAGTGTCTCCCGTGGCCCAGAACAGCTTGCTCCACCAGTCTACCTCGTGCTCATACTCATCCTGGCAGGAAAGAGGGGCATTCTGGCCGTCAGAAGAAGGCACGGAGGCTTTCTAGCCAGCATCATGCTGTTCCTCATCCCCCAGCCCCACTTCCCTGGGATGACCAGAATGCCTTGTCCTCACGGCTGAGTCTACATCACCTCATGTTTGCTGGACTTGAACCAGAACTTCCCGTAGAAGTAATCTAGGAGCTGAGAGATGAGCACAGTGAGCGAGGTGAGCGCCAGCTGCCCACGGCCACTCACCACCTGGCTCCTTCACACTGGGAGCTAATTCTTAGTTCGCATTGCCCATAGTTTCAGTCTGAACTCTGGGAGGGCTCAGAAATGTAGAACCTCAAGCCCCTCCCCTCCTCCCAACCAGAACCTGCTTTTGTTCAGGATGCCCATAGGATTCCCATGCATTTGGGTTTGGTAAACACTGCTCTAGAGATATAGTTCAAAACCTTGAACACACACTGGAATCGTAGGGAATGGGGAGTGGGAGGGGTGGGTCAGTACTCGGACCAAAATGCTGATGCCTGGGTCCTCCCCAGCAGCTCTGATACAGCTGGTCAGTGGGCTGGCTGTTAGGAGTCTTTAGACCTTCAGGCAATGCTTTGTTTTTTTAAATATTTCTTTTTACATACAGAACTGGGGTACAGGCCAGAGGTGCAGGGATGGTGAGAGGCTTCACCAGAAACGGAATGGGGAACAGAACAGACAGATCGACAAAGTACACTGTTGAGGGGAGCAGCGGGCAGGTCAGGAGAGGTCCGCCGTGCCATGTGGGTCACCTCCCTGGTCAGCCGAAGCGGCTGGGGCTAGCTTCATAGTGCTGTGCTTTAACCCACTGCATCACCAGGAAAGGCCCAGACCCTCAGGCAATTCTAATGTACACTCTAGGCTGAGAAGCACTGATGTTATCTTATGTGCAAATAGGCCTCATACTGGGTTACAAATATAAGAACTGTATTTAATCTTTGTCCCTCATCAGGGACAAGGTGGTTCCCTCTAAATGGTGTGGGAGAAAAACAGGGCCTCAAGCACTTTACTCACCGGGGGGCACTTTTTCGAAGTCAGCACTGTGTGGAGAAAGCACTCGTGAATCTCAAGAGGGGAGCAGAGTGGGGAAGAGGGATACCAACCCCACAGGGCACCAGGGCTGACTTGTGGGGGAAGCCTGGGCAAGGGCAAAGAGAAAGGCCATACTTGGAAGCCGTTGGGATACATAGTTCGCAGCCCAGGGGTCACAGAAGTAGGGCTGTAGAGAGTCGATGTTGGCTTGACCCACCACGGTCCGTTGCCCAAAGTCCTGGACATCCACCACCTTCAAGATGAGGGGCAGCACGTAGGTCTCCTCCACAGGCATGAACTGCAGCCCGAAGGAGAGACGGAGTGAGGCCTCCCAGGGTGGAGGGCTGCCCAGCCCTGGCCTGAGGGCTGCTTACCAGTGTGAGGAAGAGGACTGACTCCTTGAAGTTGGGGTTCGCCTGGAAGTCCCTGATGGGTTCCGTCTGCAGGGACTCTTCCCAGCATTCCACCAGGAGCTGGGGGGAGCGCACCTTCTTCATGTTCCGCAGACCCCAGACCAGGAGCTGCCGGAACAGAGGAGGAGGGGGAGAGGGGCAGGCGGTGCCTCTGTCGTGGGATCCCAGCCAGGAAGAGGGGCTGTCCCGGGAGGGGACAGGCGCTGCTCAGAGCACGTGGTCAGGTGAAGCCAGGCTGAAGGCTCACCCAGGTCACTTGTCCTGTGGGGCATCTGTGCTGGTCAAGGCTGCGGTGCCCCCTCCATGCGGTGCCCTCGGGAGTCTTTCACTGACCTCCAGTGTCCCCTGGGTATTTCCCTTTGTGCAGGCTGCCTTACCAGGCTGCTAACTTGTATCTCAGAGGACTCCGTGGCCATTTAGGAACCCTGCACCCTGGATCTCACAACTGACAGGCACTGGATAGCCCTCAAGACTCCTCAGGGCACCAGCCAGGCTGCCTGATCTTACCAGCCGCGGGAGAGCCTGACCACCATTTACTCTTTACCAGACTGGTGGCAACACACAGAGGTTCCAGCACGGAACCTGCTGCTACTCTCCAGAGGTGAGAGACATCAGGATCACCATCTGGGATTCAGGCGGGGCTGGGCCCTTCTGGCCGTACCACTCAGTCCCCGCGTCACTGAGGAGCATGTATGTGCTTCTCAGAGCCTCGATCTTCTCTGGAAAGTAGTTCCTACTCATAGCACAGGGGCAGCTTGCAGAGATCTGCATTAAAATAACTGCAACTGGGCCCTCCCTGGTGGCACAGCGGGTTAAAGCACAGCGCTAAGAAGCGTAAGCCAATTCCTCATGAATGCCATCCCCGCCTGCCCCGGAGGAGAGGAGATCCACATGGCGTGGCAGACCTCTCCTGACCCTCCCGCTGCTCCCCTCAGCATTGTACTTTGTCGATCTGCCTGTTCTGCTCCCCACTCTGTTCCTGGTGAATCCTCTCACCCTCCGCATCTCTGGCCTGTACCCCAGTTCTGTATGAATAAATAAATAAATCTTTAAAAAATAATAATAATAACTGCAACTGTGGTCTCTCCCTGATGGCGCAGTGGGTTAAAGCACCACACTATGAAGCTCTCAGGAGCCACTGGAGTGCAAGTTCAGGCCCCAGCCAGGGAGCTGATCCACGTGGTGCAGCAGCCCTCTCCTGTCTCACCCGCTGCTCCCCTCAGCAGTGTGTTTCAGTACATCTGCCTGTTCTACTCCCCACTCTGTCTCTGGTGAATCCTCTCACCCCCGCACCTCTGGCCTGTTCCCCAATTCTCTAAGTATAAATAAATAAATCTTTAAAAAAAATAATAGTTTTCAACTGTTCAGAGCTCCTGGTCTTCATTCGTCTCCTCTCCCCCTCCATCATCTCTCTCTCTGGGGTCCAAGCTTTGCACTGCGGGTCCTGAAGGCCCAATAGGGTCAGCAGAGAGCTCACAGCCGGCTGCTCTGGGGGACGCCTGCGCCCTGCCCTCCCCCCCCCATGCCCGTCACAGCATTACCTCGATGGCAATTTTCCTTAGGGTGGGCTGCATGCTCTTGGGGAGTGCGTAGAATCCATTCTTCCAAGGAACACTAATGATGGGCGACTTGGCTCTGAGACTCTTAACACATGAGGGGAGAGAGCAGGGAATCTGAGTCTCTTTGGGCTGGTGCTCCTGCCCTTGCCCCCAACTCAAGCAGTTCTGACTCAGGAGAGCTCAACTCAGGAGGCTCCAGAGTCCCAGGGGCAGAAGTTGGCAGGGGCGTTGGGGGGGACCATGGGTAGACCTGGGCCACCACCCCAGCGTTCTGTTCCTAGGTCCCGGCCCTTCCCTAGGAGGTGGTACTGGGGATGGAGCCTGTGGCAGGGAGTGGGGGGGGTGTTGGGGAGCACTTCCCGGTCCTCCAGTACCTCCGTCTCCAGGATCAGCTCACAGGATGCCAAGATCTCCCCTTCTTCATCTCCCAACTCTCTCGTAAGTGGATGCCATCTCATGGGTGGCAGCGTCCGCTTTTGGACATCCAGCCAAACCTCCGGGGGCCACATGCTCCGTCCCCATAAGCTCTCCTTGCCCTGGAGTAAAGTGGACGTTCACGTAACGTGACGGGAGCCAGGTCTGACTCTGACGCTCCGGGATTCTGACCCTTCCAGGCTGCGCTGGCATTGAGTCAGGCTCCCCGGAGCGCTTGCCGCGTGTTCTCTAAAGTGAAGACCCCTCCGCAGCCCTGTCCAGCCTGCTCCACCTTACCCAGTAGTCTCGCTGCCACAGCTCCAGCACCACAAGTGGGGGGCTCTCTTTGATGTCCTGGGGATTCTCATAGAGGAGGAGATGCTGAAAGATGAGTGTCTGGTCCCACGTTGGAGCTGCAGAGCTCCTCAGGGTTTGAGTGCACTGGCTGTGGTGCAGGAAGACCACCCGTATGAAGGGTCCTGGGAAGTGAGAGAGAGGAGGGGTGGCCACCGAGCTGTCCGGTGAGGCTCCTCTCGCGACTGCCGCCACTGGACCAGGTACGCGGGGCAAGCGGCCACTGCTCCCGCGGCCACCCAGAAGGCGACCTCCGCGTCACCAGAGAGCAAACAGCACATGAACAGAGGCCAGAGACCATTTGCTTCGTCCGCATCTGCGTCTCACGACCCACTGTGGCTGAGCCTGGATTGCAAGAGGCACCTCGGGGAGAATTTCGGGGGTGCTGCCTCCATTACATTAGTGAGCAACTTTCTCACTGGAGATCATCCAGTGGCCTTCCGGCGTTGTGGGTGCTGATGCCTGACAGACTGCACCCCCAGCAGACACCACTGCCTGGCTCGGCCCCTCCTCTAGCTCCCTGGCTCCCCGCTAGCATCCCCACTAACCAAGGAACAGCCGGGACAGGGCGGGAGCCTGTGACTCACCTGAAACCTGTGGGTTCCCCCGGGGAGTCCTGGGCCGCCCCAGGACCAAGCGCTGTTTCTGTCCCCGCGGGGCCAGGTATTGCCACCCCTCTTCCCACCCCTCGTCCTCAGTTCAACACAAAGGACGCAAACCTCCCACGCCAGTCACCCTCTCCTCCCTTGCCTTGGCATCTCACCAGTCCTCTGCCTGGTGAACTCCTCCCTTTGAAGCTCAGCTCAGTGGGACCCCTCCAAGGGGTCAGACTCCCCAGTTCCCCTTTCTAGATTCCACAGCTTTGGGAACACATTTAAAGATTCTTGCCTTGCTACTCCATACTCTCGTGTCTTTCCCGGAAACCCTGGTCATGAGCTAAGGGTGGGGGACCTTGGTTACCCCCTTCCTTGCCACACTTTGACACCGCCGGAGTGTTCGCTGCCTACCCTGGAACGCCTGGATCTGGGTGGACGTCAGGTTCCGGGCCTGGTAGATGTAGCAGAAAAGCTGGTAGTAGTGGGGCTCTGGTAAGAGAGTGGCGGCTCAGCACCTGCCTCCAGGAGCCCCGCCGGCCCTCCCATGCCCTGGCCTCCGACGCTGGCCTCTGGGGTACCACGCCCACTCAGTTGAAGACACTCACTGTTGAAGACGCAGTAGATGAAGGGCAGGCTGGGTGCGTGGCTGGTCTCCAGGAAAGACCTCAAGGAGTCCATGAACGATCTAGAGATACTGCGATGTAGCATCTTGCTCTTTTCCATCTGAGCCTGATGTTCCATCTCTAAACTGTGTGCCTAGGACAGTCTCTTTTCAGGTGTCTGGGCATTTTTCCTGTCTCTCAGCCCAGGCCCTTCACCCTTTCTATCCTCCAAAGCCCAAGAATGCCAGTCTGAGGCCGGAAGCCCCCACCGCTCACAGACCCAAGCTGGGGTAGCTCTGGCTGGTGGTCCAGACCCTGGCTCTCCCGGAGATGGGGCAATGGGGGTGGGGGGGGGAGACTTCCAGGCCACTGAGGTTTTACCAAGGATCCCTCCAGGAGGAATATGGGCGCAATGCCCTTCTCCTTGTCGGGGGCCAGTCTGCGGTGCCAGCAGCGGCGGCGAAACTGACTTTGAGGCTGAGGGTTCAGGTGGAACTTGGAGCCAAAGGTGCCATACTCCCAGCCCTCCTCTGCCAGGCTGGGGTGGTGCTGCAGGGAGGGTACAGAGTCACCCTCCCGAGGTGGACCCTGTCTGCAGTCCCGGCTAGCTCCCCGCCCAGCGGCCCCTCACCAGCTGCAGAAAGGAGAGGGTCTCCTGCTCAAAGCTCAGATTTCCACGGTCCCTGAAGCGCACCCGCGCCCAGCGCCGCCGGCGATATGAGTAGTAGGTCTTCTCCACCGAGTTCCACACCCGGGGGAGCCCCGAGGGTGGGATCCCCACTCCATACTCCCAGCCTGCAGGGGTAGGACCATGCTTCTGGGTGCTCAGTTGCCCACAGGCTGGGAGGCTTAGATAAGCCTGAGGGGTGGGTGCAGAAGGGCAGGCTAACGTGGCCGGACCCCCAGGTCCAGGCCTCTCTGACCCTGAGGTGTGGAAAGGAGCTTGTGGTCACACTGTGCCACCTGGATGAACTGGGCCCACTGCCCGCCTTACAAAAGAAGAAGTTGAGGTTCAGGGAGACACTGTGAGTCGCACAGCCCCAAAGCGGCAGAGTCCTGTGTCGAGTCCAGGCCCGCAGACCTCCAGCCTGCTGCTGCTTCCCTGGGGCCGCCTAGGATAGACCCAGCTCCACCACCAGCTCTGCCTGCATTCGAGTGCTCAGGAGGCCTGCACAGCCTACCTGGCTCAAGACTGATGCCCGCATCTTCGGAAAGGGCACAGCCCCTGCTATGGAGGCTGGGGGCCCCCAGGAATTCAGACTCATCCCGTCTGGAGTGTGACTGCTCTGAGGCTGTGGGAAGTGTGAGCACTGGCAGCGGGGGCCCCTGCCCTCAGCCTGTAACCGGAGCACTGACCCTCACTGTCCACTGCGTGGTTCAGCTCCACAGCCCAGTTCTTCTTCACATGCCAGCCTTGGGGGCACTTCATGTTCTCCCGGGCTTCTACAGGCTGTCCATTCTGTGGGTGGACAGGGCAGGCCAAGCGGCGTCTGAGCCAGGAGGCCACCTTCACTCACTCTTCACATGTCCACTCACCTGCCAAGGCTTCACTGCCCTCCCATCCCTGGGAGCAGACACATTCGCTCCATCTGAGGCCACCAGCATACACACTTGAGATTGTCTTTGCAAACTGCACATAGGAAATAATCATACTCATAGCTACAGCTGTCTGACTAAGCCCAGGCCGCCGTCTCCTGGGTGCCAGGGGTTGATACCACGTTTGACCACTCAGACCTGAACTGTCCAATGCGGCCTCCTGGGGCCATTTAGATTTCAATTCATGGCCCTCCCTGGTGGCGCAGCGGGTTAAAGCACAGCACTGAGAATCTAAAGCCGCTTCTGCATGAGTTCGATTCCCGCCTGCCCCGGAGGTGACCACATGGTATGGCAGACTCTCCTGACACACCCGCTGCTCCCCTCAGCAGTGTACTTCGTCGATCTGCCTGTTCTGCTCCCCACTCTGTCTCTGGTGAAGCCTCTCACCGCCCCTGAGCCTCTGGCCTGTACCCCAGTTCTGTATGCACAAATAAATAAATCTTTAAAAAAAATAGATTTCAATTCATTAAACAGAAATAAAAGTCAAAGTTTGCTTCTCACTTTCTCAGGAGCCACACTTCAAATACTTGAAAGCCACACGTGGACAGTACAGATAGAGACATCACAGAAAGTTCTATTGGGTAGTACCGGTCCCAGGCAGATTCTTTCCTTCCGGGTAAGCTCTATCGGGGAAGAGCCTGGGAAGGAATCTCCCACTTGTTGCTTCTTACAGTCTTATTCACGGTATCCCTCCCCATCATCTTGGAATACAAACCCCGACTTGTGCTCACCTGGTGTGTGCATGTGGGGGGCAGCCGGGCTCAGATGGTCACCCCTATTCCAGAGCACTTTGCACTTGGACAGCCCAGCTTCACTGCTCCAGGCCCTGTACCCCGGCCTCCTTGGAGCTGTCCGGCCTTGCCTCCCCTCCCAGGGCCCCCCCATTGGTTCGGCCCTTGCTCACCAAATCAGTGTTGGGGATGGCCGCCGACACCCAGGCCCCGGTGATGTCTCGGTGCTGGTTCTCGTACACCTCCTCTACCACCTGGCTCTTGTTGATGTCTACATCCAGGAGGAGTCTGGGGGCAGCAACACCCCAAGTTCCTAGCACATCTCCCTGGATTTACTGGCCCCGGGGTTCTCCTCTGCTGGCTGACCACTCTTTACCTGGAAGCCCCATTGCTCTGGGCAAGGCTGGGCCATGGGACCTTAACACTCAGGCCCTCTGCCTTGTGCCCCCCAAGTCTTGGGACCAGTGGCCATGTGCCTGCCCCTCTGTACTGGGAGTAGCCCCGAGAGGGCTACTCCCAGTGCTGCATGTCTGGAGCACAAGGCTCCAGGCCCCGTACCCAGCCTTACCTCCTCTGAGGCTCCACTGTCCACTTCCCCTGCCAGTGCCATCCATGGGGTTCCTTGAAGTCCTCCTTGGGGAGGGCCTTGCGCCCCATGGCATCCGAGAAGTTGGGGCAGTGATGCAGCCCCTGCTGCCCCCACTGGTCTTTGTACTTGGCCTCATTTTCGTACTGGGCAAGGGGAGACCGTCAGTGCCTGCTACCCAGGGCCCCCACCTCTGGGCTGTAAGCACCTTCTAGAAATGTCAATCTTGGGCAAATAAGGGGCATATGACTCTTGCCAATAGCTTGTTTTATCACTTATCAGGGACAGGCCTGCCTGAGGCTGTCTCTACCCTATCTAGGTGTCCCCAAAAATGCTTAGATCACATCCCTTCCCCCCACTGTTATTCAGCACAGACTGCATTCATCAAGTGCTTACTCTGGGCCAGTCCATGCTTGAAGCTCCCACCTCACTCATGAGGAGACTGAGCTCAGAGGTCTGCTCGACCCCAGATTGCTTAGCCAGTGAGGGTCAGTGTCGGTGAACACCTATATTGGGGCCCAGTGTCCCGAGATGTGACTCATCCACTCTGTGGTCGGGGACCCAGTCCTGTCTCATGCTGGCCCTGGGCCACTTCCCCGCCACTCCACTCCCTGCTCCCTGTACCCCTCCCACGTCCCCATCCCATCCCACAGTCACCAACTCCTATGGAAGGGCTGCCGGCATAGTATGATATTCCTGGCCGTAACATGCATCTTAGGAATCGTAGAAATATGCCTGATTCAGTAAACTAAACAGCTTGAAACTCAAAACTGTCTTTCCTTCTGCTGCCAAGAGTCTTCTCCTGCAGTGTCCTCCCCAGGGAGAAAGCGCCCTCCTGTTTCCTCTGACTCTAGAGTAGTGTGTGGCTAGCTGCTCACACCCACACCCTGTGCCCCACCCTGGGTTTATGATTCTGTGGGCGATGCCTCATCTCCGTTTTCTCTGACATTTCAGGCCTTCTCTTCCCCAACCACCAGTCTGGCCCAAAGGACCCCGCTGGGGTCTGCAGCGTCCCAGGCTGCCATGTTGGTGATAGGAGAGGCCCTGCACGTTGAAGCTGTGTTCGCTTCACATGCCCTGGGCCAACTGAGAGAAATTCCCAGAAACTCCAGGGAGCCACTTGGCTGCCCCCTCTGTGAGCACCCACCAGCACCCCAGCTGCTGTCTGAGTTGCTTTGGTCCCATGATCACCCTGTCCCACCCCTCTCTCAGCCCTCGGGTCCGGCCGCCTCGCTCACCGTCTCCGCGTACACCACCACCTCGCCCTTGCGGAGCAGCTGCAGGCCCTTGCTGTCCACCACGTTGCCCAGCCACATGCAGACTCGGAGGTGGGCCGGGAGCACGTCCTTCTGTCCTTCACCCTCTGGGTACTGAGCCAGAGGCAGGTCAACCCCACAGGGGCGGAGCCCCTCGGGGGGAGGGGTGCGAGTGAGCGAGGGCACACCCATCTGCCCCCTCACCCCGGGACCCAAGAACAGGGACATCAGCGAGCTGGGGTCTGGAGCTAAAAAAGTGAATGATGCAGATTTCTTGCCTGGCAGAGTGGGAGAGGACATGCAAAGGGTTAGCCTTTGGGTCCACACACATGAGAGAGGCCGGGGCGGGGGAGGGGGACAAGCAGGGAGGGAGGTCTCCACAGAGGAGTGGTGACAAGGGAAGGGTGTTGGTGACAGCAGTGCTGGTGGTCATCGCAGCACGCTTTCTGTGCCAGCCCCCGCTCCAAGTGCCGAATGAGCAGCGTCTGTGTCGATGCACACAAACCACAAGGGTGGGCGCTATTACCCCCCAGGACATTTTGAGAGGAGCAGACTGTGGTCTGGATATAGGCAGGAGCTGGCCAGAGTCCACCCAAGCCAGTGAGTGGTAGAAGCGAATTTGGGCCTCGGCGAGTCTTGCAGGACGAGGGCTCAGATATGCATGGACAGGGCTTCCAATACAGTATCGGGGAAGGCACAGGTTTGGGGTAAGTTGGGGGAGCCCAGAATGACCGCAACTGAGGCTTTTAAAGGAGGCAGCGGGGGACCAGGGAGCCTGTAAGAGGAGCAAAGCAGTGAGTGTCCTCCGCTGCCTGCAGTGACAAGAGGGGTCAGCTAGCTTTGGGGGTCACTTGGGAGTCAGCTAGCTTTGTTTGCAGCCTGCATCCGATCTGCCGGGCTGGTGCACAATCCTCATAGGCGTGAAATACTTGGGATTTCACTCCACTGTGGCTATAGGAGAGATGACAAGGGACTGGGCCAGATGAGGCATGAGGACGAAAGAGGAGATGGACTTGAGGAACACTTACGAGGGGCATCACTGGCATCAGCCACGTGCTCGTGGTCACAGACCCCTGCTTTTACTCACACCTCTTTAAACTCCACTTTACCTGGCAAAGGACCCAAGGGAGGACCTGGGAAGTCCTTGGGGAGGCTCATGGAGGTTTTTCCAAGAGTTCAGGGGTTCTCCTTTGCGGTGTCTCTGCGCCCTCGCCCCGCCCCGGCCCCCCTCCCCCCACCGAGGACTGGGTGAGCTGAAGACCCACTGTTTTCCCACCTGCAGGAGAAGGGTCTGTGTCTTCCCACAGAATCTTCCAGAGTAAAGGGTCCCCGCTGGGGAGAACAGGATGCTGTGGGCGGGCACCTGTGCGTAAGCCACCCGCTGTTCTTTGGCCATCAGCCAGATCATCACGTCCGGGATGTTCACCTGAGGCTGCCGAGGCAGGGGAGCTTCAGGCATGCAGGGCTGGCTCCGAGGCCTGCCCCCACCAGCATGCCCATGCCCACCTCGGGGAGCACAGCATTGAGGCGGTACAACCAGCCCTCCACCGTGGATATCATGTTCCTGGGCTTGGCTTCTTTGGCACTTTGAGCCAGTTCCTGCAGGAGGAGGCTGCGTAGCTGCCACCTCTTCTTGTCCAGCTCAGTGGCTTTGGGCTGATGGGTCATGCAGGGCAGAGGGCGCCTGTGGCAGGAGCAGGGAGGAGAGAGGCTGGGACTTGGCCCCATCTCTCGCCAGCCACCTGCTTGGGTCAGAGCCCTTCCTAGCCTCAGATTCTGCCCTACCCTCTGATGTGCTGATGCGGGTGTCCTTCCCAGCCCTCCTCGGGAGCCCTGCTCACTGCCAGCCTTGCCCATCTGTTCTCATCCATCCCCTCCCATCTTCCCAGACCTGCCACATGCCAGGCCTGTAGCATGTCGGTCCAAAGCTGTAGCATGTTCCTTCCGAGGCCACCTCTGGAAGAGGGTGTGAGCCAATAGCCAGCCAGCTCTTGGGGAGTTGGGGTGGGGATTCCAGAAGGGTATGGGGCTAGGAGAGGCCTTAGGATGAGTCTGAACAGGCAGCACCCGCAGGGCTTGTCTGGGTAACAGAGAGGCGGGACTTGGCAGGAATGTCAGGTTGAGTGTGGGGACAGCAGAGAAAATGCTGGCAGTGGGGGAGGTGGGGCCTGAATGGGAGAGGAGGCGCCACTCTGAGTTTCAAGCATGGAGAGGATTTGGGCAAAGCCTGTATTTCCTGAGGAGGTGGAGTGAGGGGAAAGGTGGCGGTGGCAGAGGGAGGTTGCTTTGAAGGGTGCTGGTCTAGGTCCCCTTGTCGCCTCTGACCTAGCTCAGCCCGAGCCAGGAGCCTCCCCACGCCTACTTGCAGTCCTCCGCCAGCTCCTTCAGTAGCTTTTTCCACTGAGGGAGCAGCGCTGGGTCCATGGGGTTCCTCATGGATTTCAGGGTGTCCAGATTGGCTTTCTGTGCAACAAGAAAGAAGGGGCAAATGAGCATGGGGCTCACCTGTAGTGGGGTACAGGACGGATTGGCCCAAGACGCTTTCAGTCAGCACACGGGGAACGTCGAGGGGTGACCCGGGGATGCTGGTCCAAAGCTGCAGATGTTCCTTCAAGGTTAGGACCCCCACACGCCCTCCCGCTGCCCCATGGAAGAATGGGTGATGGGGGGAGCCGGGATGGTCTGGGTCATGAAGTTGTACAGTCCTGACACCAGGCTTTCTTCCGGTGGGCACAGGGAAGTCACGTTTGAGGTTCTCCTGCCCAAAACTGTTCAGTTGGTCTCCCTTCTTGATAGACACCTAACACCTTTTATGATCTGACCCTTCCCAGCTTCTCCCTATCACTCCCACACTCCCCTCCCCCACCCCCAAACTTGGCTTTCATATTGTCCCTTCTCTGTTGGCCACTTGGCCTCCAGCAAACTCCTCACTTCTCAAGACTCTGCTCAAATGTCACTCCCTTTGCAAGGACCTCCTCTGCTTCTCTTCTCTCCACCTCCCCTCCTCCACCCCCAGGCTCTGCTCCTAAAGCTCGGGTAGATCTCTCAGCCCCAGCTGCCTATATAGCTACCGGTTAGTGGGGTGAGGACAGGGGCAGCTTCCTGTCTTCAGTGCCTGCTGCTAACACTTCCACCTCACTGTGGAGGAACATGCGCGAGCCAGCTGAGGGTCCAGCTTCCAGGCAGACTCACTTCCCTTCTGCCAATGGTCCTGCCCTCCCCTGCAGCCTCCTGCGCTCACCAGGCGGTCCCGAGTGATGTGGAGGAGGTTGAGGCAGTTCATGCGGAAGTTGACATCCTCCCAGAAGGAGGTCACGGCCACAACAGGCTTGGTGTTGTACCACGGCACGTAATGGTAGAAGTTCCCTGAGACATGGACACACGCTGTGTGAGGGTGTCTGAGGGGCTCTCGGAGGTCTCCCCTCACTGTCTCCTCTCACAGACCTTCTTCCTGAGCTACTTCATTCCTGATGAGGCGACCTGCTCTTAGTCCTGACTGAACCCCTTACCCACGAAGTCACACTGAGGAGGTGTGTATTCAATAAACACAGCAATCTTATCGTGCCTTTTTTGTGTTCAGTGTGCCACCGAGGTTGTACAGGGCCTTTCCAGATCTCCAGTTTGTACAAGTGGGAAGTCCAGGCTGGTGATGGGCAGCAGTTTGCCAGAGGTCAGACGGGCAAGCAATTGCAAGGCAGGTATCTCCAGAGCCCCATGCCCCTAACCTCAGGGGAGATGCCAAGACAAGGGGCATACCTGAAGTAAGGTGTTGATTCTGGGTGGTCTGTGAGGTAGGAGAAGGGTCAGCCCTGAGTTCAGTGGGGAGGTCTGGTTGGGGTGGGCGGACATCTCACTTCAAGGGCCTGCAGGGTGGAGGAGAGAGCCTGGGGGCAATTTGGCAGGGTGGGTTCTCTGGCAATGTTCTTTACAGAAGTGAGAGGGATGGGTAAAGCTGGATGAAAAACAAGTGATTCTTTTTCTGAAAGTATGGCTGAGTTAGCAAAAAAGGAAGAAATCCACAGAAGCCAAAAATAATGCAGAAACCCTGTGAGGCAAGCAAAGCAAAGCTGACCTCTGTCCTCTGAGTTTCCAGCAAATCTTAGTGAGCTTACACTTTTCTTTGGCAACCGCCTGGGCACAGGAGGCAGGAGAGAAAGGCTAGCGTTGCCAAGGGTGGGTGGTCTAACAGGAGAGCCCATGGCTTATGAATTCAGGTCCTGTGAAGACATATGGAAGTCCTAACCCCCTGCTTCAGAATATGACTAGTTGGATCAGGATTGTTGTAGATGTCATGAGTTAGGATGCAGTCACATTGGAGTTGGTCAGGCCCTTAACCCCTTCTGAATGGTGTCCTTCCAAGAAGAAAGACCATGGCCATGTGAGACAGAGAAATGAGAAAATCACGTGCAGATGTAGGCAAAGATTGGAGTGGTACAGCTACAAGCCAGGGAAGCCCCAACTTGCCAGCTGCTCTAAAGGCTGGGAGAGACCTGGAATATTCTCCCCCAGATCTCTCAGATGGAATCAACCCTACTAACATTATGGCAAACTTCCGGCCTCCAGAACCATGAGTGAATACATTTCTGTTGCTGTAAGCCATCCAGTCAGTGGTACTTTGTTATGGCAACTCTAGGAAACTGGCGATGCACCAAGCAAAGCTGGTACTCCAAAACCCAAACTCTACCAGTGAGAAATAATCATTAACACAGAGAAAGACAGTGAGGAAATTTGCCCATCTGGGGAGAGGACAGGCTACATTGAAAATCTGTAGCCACAAATGGGTCCTCACACAGATGGCATTCTGCATTCATGCCACTTGGGTGGTCTGGAGAAAAATTAAAGTGATCTCTGGTTGGCAGTGCCCTAGATAACTGGAGGAAGCAAAGACAAATCCTCTGGATCATAGAACTTTAGTCAAATCCCAGAGGTAAATTTCCAAGAAAATGAGTGATTTTGAGCCAATACACCTACTCCCTACCCCAGCAATTCCACTCCTAAGTAAAGGCCCCCCTGAAAGGCTTATCAACATTATTAAAAGACATGTAGAACTGCGTCTACCAGGTGGCACAGAGGCTAAAGGCTCAGTGCAGTCAAGCTATCGCCGCCAGCCATTGTGGCCTGAGTTTGTTTCCCTGCCAGAGAGCTGACCCACATGCAGCAGACCTCTCCTGTCTCACCTGTTGCTCCCCTCAGCCTGTTCTGCTCCCTACTCTGTGTCTGGTGAATCCTCTCACTCCCCACACCTCTGGCCTATACCCCAGTTCTTCAGTGCATGAATGAATCTTTTAAAAAAAATTTAAAAAAGTAGAGGCCCTCCCTGGTGGCACAACAGGTTAAAACAGTGGCACTATCTTCAGCCACTGCAGCACAAGTTCGATCCCCAGCCAGGGAGCTGACCCACATGGAGTGGCAGACCTCTCCTGACCCGCCCACTGCTTCCCTCAGCAATGGATTTCAGTCAACCTGCCTTTGTTATTTCCACTCTGTCTCTGGTGAATCCTCTCACACCTCTGGCCTATACCCCCATTCTTGTATGCATAAATAAACAAATATTTTTTAAAAGAATTTAAAAAGTAGCGAGGACCAAAAAGACATAAAAAATAGATGAAATGCAGTATACCAAATGTTGGGAAATGCTATGGAGAAAAACAAAGCAGGGAGGAAGGGCAGGTCAAGATTTTAAAAAATGGAATGGTATCTCCAGATGTCTCTTAGAAGATTAAGAAGAAGTTATGCAGAATACAGCCCAGAGATGAAAACTACAGAAAATAAATTTTTAAATATGAAGACCAGAGTGAGAAGTTCTACAGAGGATAATGGGAATTCAAGGAAATATAAAAGATAAAAGAGGAGGTAATTTTCAAAGAGAAAATATCTTAGAACTTTCTAGAATTGTTGGAAGACACAATTCAGATCGTGGCACTCAGTGAGCCATTAGAATGATAAATGAGCAGAGATCCATGACTGGGGTTTCTCAGATTATGAGCATGGGGATACAAGATGGCAATTTTCCTCTTTTCCTTTGGACAGCATACAAAAACAACAAGGAGAAGGAAAATAACTCCTTTTCAGAAAAACAAAGAGGCAGATATAATCTGCAGTCTCCAAATACACATAAGAATTGCCAAAAGCAACTATGATTACAGGAGAAGCCCTAAGGAGTCAAGTGCAACAGAAGTCACCTGGGGAGAATGAATAGTTAAGACAGACAGCTGGAAGCACAGCTTGATGGAAGCAGAATACAGAGTGCCAGCAAAAATACACTCCCAGAATGAACTCAAGACTCAATGAGGAAACATGAGCCAGCAAAACTCAGAAAATAAGCAGAAGCAAACCAAAAAAATTTTAGAAAGGAGGATAACGTTAAAAAAGACCAACTGATATTAGACCGTGCTAATTTAATGAAATGCATAGAAATAAGAAAAGCAACTAAATAAAATGGAAGTCAACAAAAAGGATCAGGGAGAAATGACAGGTATAGACAAAAATCAAGGAGAATCGTTAAACCTGTAATTGGAGCTCCTCAGATAGAAAGCCTAAACAACAGAACAGAATATTTTAAAACATAATTTGAAAAACCTCACATAATAGGAAAAAGGATAGTCATTTTAACAACTGGTAAAGGTAGGATAGCTGTATATGAATTAATTCAAATGGATTACAAAGCTAAAGTAAGAACTAAAACTATAAAATGTTTAGGAGAAAATCTTCCTGACCTTGGGTTAGACTAAGAGTTCTTAGACATAACAGCATAAAAGAAAAAAGTATTCTATCCAAATTAAAAGTGTTTGCATTTCAAACATTTCCATTAAGAAAACAGAAAGACAAGCTACAGGCTATTTTTAATCATATATCTGATAAATGATTTGTACACAGAACATGTAAAGAACACTTAACCCAATAAGAAGGCAACCCAATTAAAAAATGGGTAAAAGGTCTCTCTGGTGGGCTAGGGGTTAAGTCTCAGCATTACCACGATGGCCTGAGTTCAATCCCAGGCCAGAGAGCTGACCCACATGGAACAGCAGACCTCTCCTATCTCCCAGGCTGCTCCCCTTAGCAGTGTATTTCAGTAGGCCCACCTGTTCTGCTCCCCACTCTGCTTCTGGTGAATCCTTTCACCCCCACCCCAGTTCTTCTGCACGTCAATCAATCCAAATTTTAAAATAAATAAATAAATGACAAAAGATTTGACAAACATAAACAAAGATGACACATGAAAGATTAGTGTCACAGAAGAAGCCATCCTGGATTGTTAGATATCAGGGGAATGCAAATTAAAACCACAATGAGATACACGCCCAGGGTGATGAATAAAAAGCAGCAAAAGCAAACATTGACAACCATTTAGAAAAACAAGAACCATCAGCCTTTGGGGGGGAATATAATTGGTGCAGATACTTTAGTGAAAAATAAGTTTACTAAAGCCCATTATATTTCAAAGTATCTATTCAAGAGAAATAAAATGTGTCAACACAAAGACATGCACACAAATGTTTGCAGCACTTTATTCATCATAGGTAAGAAATAGAAGTGGATACAATGTCCATCAACTGATGAATGTGTCCAATATTCTACCTTTTAAGCTGGATGGTGAGTTCATGGGTACTGATTTTATTCTTTAAACTGTACATATATATTCTACATACTTTTAAGTGTGTGTGTATGTGTACATATATATACATTATATATTTCAAAATTTAAAAACAAGTAGAACATTATGCTAAGTCAAAGAAGTCACCAAGAACCATGCATTGCATGATTCCACCTATAAGAAATGACCTGAATAAGAAGCTATAGAGGGACTAGATTAGTGGTTGCTAAGGTTGGGAAATAGGAGAGAAAGAGAAGAGTGGGTAAGGTAGCATAGAGTTTCTTTTCAGGTGGTGATGAAAATATTCTAAAATTGACCATGGTGATGGTTGCATGATTCTACTAAGATACTACAAACCACTGAATAATACACTTTACATGGGTGAATTATATAGCACATGAATTGTATTTCAAAAAAGCTTTTTTTTTTTTGGCATATAGAACTGGGGGACGGGCCAGAGGTGCAGGGGCAGTGAGAGGATTCACCAGACACAAAGTGGGGAGCAGAACAGGCAGACAGATGAAGTACAATGCTGGAGGGGAGCAATGGGTGGCTCAGGGGAGGTCTGCCGCGCCATGTGGATCACCTCTGGGGCGGGGATTGAACTCTTGCTGAAGTGGCTTCAGCCTTAGTGCTGTGCTTTATTTAATCCACTGCACCACCAGGGAGGGCCTTCAAAAAAGCTGTTTTTAACAGGTGAAGAGTGAGATGCACAGAAAGCTCTCAGATAAACGATGAGATAGTGAAAATGACAAAGATGAATGTTGAGGCCGTATCCCTCTAAAGCAGTGGCTCTCCAAGTAATCACCAGCATATGAGTCATTGGCTTATTAAAATAAATTACTGATTCTGTCTGTCTGCTTTTGTAGGTCTTGGGTGGGGCCAAGAATTTGCATTTCTAACGGTGATACTATTGCTGTTGGCCCAGTAACTGTACTTAAGAATCGCTGCTCTTATGTACAACATAGGTGTGTCCACTAAGTAGATATGGATGGATGGATGGATGGATGGATGGATGGATGGATGGATGGATGGATGGATGGGTGGTTGGCTGGGTGTTTGGGATGGTTGGATATTTGGGATAAATGGATGAATGGGCATATAAATAGATTAGTGAATAGCTAGAAGGGTCAGACAAATGAGAAGTTTTATGGGTTGGAGTTCAGTGTAATAGGGGAGAGAAGGAAGTTGGGGAAGTTGCACACCAAGAAATCACTATGTTCTTGTGACCCTTTTAAGCATTAGCTCTGGAACTTCAGAGGTACTCTGCTCTGGTGGGTTGGACTATTACCATCATATATCACCGGGCTGTACTGTGTGGTTGAGACCAGAGGCTTGTAGTTCTGGTCCATCTTGTTTCCATAGTGACCGATGCTGACCTCAAATTGGATCAGATCCTTAAAGTTGGGCATCATGGTGCAGGAAAGGAAGATGACGCATAGCCCATATTTTAGGCGGTTCTTGTGCTTCTAAAACAATAACCCCCCACCACACACATATAAGCCAAGGATGAGCAAGGCTATAGACAGGTGGGGATGAAAGAAGGAGGTACCCTATTTCTTTTAAAGGTCGTCTTTGCATCTCTTTTGGGTGAGCTAGGTAAACCAGCTCACCAGCTTGGGGAGGATAAACCTTGACTCCCTGCCTTGATTCCCTCCCACCTGGCTAAGCAAGGGGGGTTCCTCAAACCTCCATCACCTGGTGCCTTCCACCCAGCGGGCTCTATTTTCTCCCTTTCCTGAAGTATGTCAGGAGGACTTTCTTCCTGGCCAGTTCAGCACTGAGTTGGGCCCCTCCACTCCTCTCCTTTTTCTTAAACACCTTCCTTGGAGGAAGCCAAGTATGGGTATGGGCAGGGGTATGTGTTGGGGCCTGTATAAGGGCATTTGCCTCTTTCAAATTCTCTCCTCCCACCATACCTCTCATCTGCTTGGGGTTCACTGTCCATGTTAACCCCTCTTTTGTTTCTGCTGCCCTACTCCCACATGCTTCCAGTCACTGACTAGCTTCCTCTTGTAATGTCAGAAATGGGACCCCCAGTAGATCTGGGTCAGGGAGAAGGTCCTTGGTTACCTGTATCCTGTGGTTACCTCTACTCTGGTGACTTCATAGGAGAGATTCTTTATCCTAGCCTCTTGATGAGGAGTGGTATGGGTGACAAGCTCCATAAAGATTCGGCCTCGATAAGCTAAACCATCCTTAATAGAGCTGAGAAAAGTCTAGAGTAACAAAGAGGAAAATGGGGAGAGAATGCATGAGAGAAAAGGAGCAGGCAAATCTCACAACGCCTGACTAGAAAAGAGAGGTCCATTAAGTTCCTGTTTAGGGCTGACCACTACCCAGGGAGGAATGCAGGTGCTTCTGACATGGCTATGCCAGGAAACCTCTGGGCCTGACCACGCTCCTACAGCCCACCACCCTTCTGCATGCATTTTATCTATTCACCAACTTGAAGAATCTGCTCCCCACAAAAGCTTCTTGCTTAGAGCGGACCATGATGATCACTGAGTTGGCGCTCCTAACAGTGTCAGTCAAGGGCACGCCCCACCTCCTTGGCAATGGCGGCTGGTCCAAGGGGAGAACCTATGACCTAAGAAGGCCACTGGAATGTTCCCTTGGCTTTCCTGCTGGAGGTTTTGATGGCCTCATTCCCAGCTGATACGCCAAGCACGGGACCAAGGGGTAAAGGGCTGGGAGATGGGATGGAGTCAGAGCACCTCCTGAGGGCAAGGAGGTCTTGGTACCTGCAGCGCTTCCTCACTCAGAGCCCTTCCCAGGGCCGTTCCCTTGTGCCCATCTTACACCAGCGGGAAGTGGTTTTCTGCCATTATTGCCATCGTATACCTCAGAACCTTCCCCCTTTACCTGTGCCCTTTTATTTTTTTCTTTTGGTCTTATACAACCTTTCCACCTGATGAAATTTTACCTGCAGTCTCATCTCTAAGCCCTCCTGCAGTGAACGCCCAGAGCACCCTCCTATCCCTTGTTTTGTGCGTAAGTTCATGTCCCACATAAAAATGGCTGTCTGTGGGCTCTCCCTGGTGGTGCAATGGGTTAAAGCACCACATTATGAAGCTCTCCGAAGCCACTGAAACCACTGAAATACAAGTTTGATCCCCCCACTAAGGAACTGACCCACATGGTATGGCAGACCTCTCCTGACCCGGCCACTGCTCCCCTCAGCAGTGTACTTTGTCGATCTGCCTGTTCTGCTCCCCACTCTGTTTCTGGTGAAGCCTCTCATCCACCACACCTCTGGCCTGTACCCCAGTTCTGTAAGCATAAATAAATAAATCTTTTTTTTTTTAAATGGCTGTCTGTGTGCAGATTTTAGGTCTCCTGCTTGAGCATGGGGGACAGAAACGAAGGTCAGGTCCTCCCCAGGAATGTCCCAGGCCCAGCTCTTACACATGCTCAGTTTTACTTCCACTGTTCCCTAAAGCTGACATGAGAAACTTACTGTGTCTCTGTTCTGGATCCTGAAAGGGGCCTTTTTACCCCCACGGAGAATCAGGAAACTGGGACCAAAGCAGGGTAGGAAGCCAGAGTATGTTCCTAGAAGAAAAAATGGGCAGGGGCAGAGTCAGGGGCAGGTGGGAAAGGCCCAGGGGCAGAGCCCAGGCGAGCTTTCTTGCCTTCTACTTCTGCTCCAGTGGAGAAGATATGGTTGAAGTTCACGGTCGCTGACCCGATCTCATCCTGGCGATTATTACTGGAGCTGGAGAGAACTTCTGCAGCTTGAGCCTCTGGCCCAGCTCTGTTTTCTCTCCTCCACCATATTTTTTAACTTCTCCCCAGTGGCTCACCAGTCCAAGACTCTGAACTTGATAAAGGTGGAGAGGCAGGGCATCTGCAGTGGAGAGTGAGAGGAACACTGAGTGCACCCTGCGGGGGGTCTGGTCCTCTTGGACAGCAGCCAGGAAGACCTCAGTGTAGGGCCAAATCCTGGCTCAACGAACTACTTAATCACAGCCAAGACAGACTGGCCCGAGAAGTTTATGGACCTTTAGCTTTAGGGCTCCCCACTTGCAGGGGACCATTGCAAGCGTAGGGTTGTGATCTGTAATCATTTTGTATTTTAAAAAAGATTTATTTATTTACAAGAACTGGAGTGTAAGCCAGAGGTACAGGGGAGCAGGAAAAGGGTGAGAGGCTTCACCAGGGAAAGAATGGGGAGCAGAACAGGCGATCAACTGAAATACACTACTGAGGGGAGCAGCGGGTGAGACTGGAGAGGCTTCTGTGCCATGTGGGTCACCTCTGGGCCGGGGGATCCTACTAGTGCTGCAGTAGCTGGTGATAGCTTGATGTGCTGAGACTATAACACCTACATTATCAAGGAGGCCCCTTCTTTTTGTATTCTTGTTCTTAAATCAGCTCCCAAGTTGTATAAGCTTGAGAATCCTTGGGACCTGGGGTCATTCTGACTGTGCACACTTACCAAACCACCTCAAGGGTAAATCATGGGCCTGAAATGCCTCCATAACATTTAAACAGCAGACATCTATCACCTCAGAGAGTAAATTACAGCTGCCCCTCTGGGAAGGGTTTGCTTGTCCCCTGGCCTGAACTGAATGAGTCACATGGATGGGCTAAGTGCCCCCTCTCAAGAGCTGCACAAGCCAAGAGCTATTATTATTCTCATTTTCAGACAGGAAAATGGAGGCACTGAGAAGCTGAGTTTCTAACGTTCTCATATTACCTGTGGGGACTGAGGCAACTTCTGTGCTCCTAACTGAACTGCCATAACCAAGTAAGGACTGTGATCAGCCCTATTTACAGAGAGGTGGAGTGATTTGTTCAAGGTCACACAGTATGGGATAGAGTCAGGATTAGAACCTGGCGTCTGAGTTTTATTCCCTTTGTCACAGCTTCCTCAGTTATTTAAAAAAAAAAAAACAAAAAACTCATGTGTAATACAGAGCTCTGGGGTCTAACTGGGGGTCTTCTCTCAGTGTAGTTGCTCTTGGGACATGTTGGGGAGACTCCCCAGAGAGTTACCCATTCTCCTCGTCCATTCTCCCCTTGCCATGGTGGCTGAGGGTCAGGGGGAAGTCGGGAAAGGCCTTTCCATTCGAGTCATTGGTTAGTGAGAAATTAGAAAGTCGCCTAGTTTAAGGAAGCACTCTAGGAGAACAAATAGGTACCCGAAGACATCTGCATCTCCCAGTTTTAAATCCTCCAAATTTGAATTTATGACTGAAGCTTCTTTTCATTCCTACTTTGTTAACAGTTTTCATTTTTCCCAGTTTCTTGTCTTTAGGACCTTTCTGGCCTTTGGACCTTGGCCTCTGTAGTGACACAGACCCATTTTCAGCTATTCTCCCTGCTGCTGCCAGCCTTGCTGAGGCCCCGCTCAGTTGGCCTCAGATGCCACAGCGATTATCTACCACTTCAAAGTGAGGTTCACAGCTTCTTGCTGCATTTCCAGAAGGCTAGGGACAATTAGATATCCAAATGACCCCAGTTCTGTAGACTGTGTTCTGAGAGAAATGGGGGAGGGTCTATGGGAGTGTTTGGACATCTTTAAATGTCACAGGCCTCTTTCAGGGATGGAGGAGAGGCTGGTTCTGAGTGTAGCGGGAGGACTTTCGAGGCTGAGAGGACCCAGGACATGAGCCATCACAGCCAGGGATAGCTGAGAGGGAGCTTGGCAGGTGGGGGAACGAATATTTAGGCTCCCTCTGAAATCTCTTCCAAATTATGAATCTACACAATCACCCAAGAGGTGAGGATTAAAAATGATGAATCACCAGGAAGCAGACTGGGGATGCATCTACAAACAAGATGGAGGGGAGCTCATTAGCTAATTTGGTGTCACACAGATAGGAGGTATAAAGAAAGTGAAATACTCTGCAGGGCCAAAGAGGCATCATACAAAGTGCTAGGCACTTATGAGACTGCACTTATGAGAGAGTGCAATTAGCTCTCAGAAAGGCTTGCTCTTCTTTTGCAAACAGCTCTTAGAAGCCTGGCAAGGAGTCAAAGGTTATCAAGGCTCTCCCAGCACTTTGAGAGAACTGGAGCTCATCCCGCTGGCAGGTGAGTGAGAAGGACCAAAAGGCTATTAAAATCAAATGACAGGACCTCACAAAGCACAGCATGAAAGGGCCATTTAGTGTAGAATAAATAGCGCCTCTTACACCTAGTTCTTTGTAATAGTCATTTTGCCTCTGAGCCATCAACAAAGAACTACAGTTACATTCAGGGCACTTTGCTCAGAAGATAAGAAAATACAAGATGCACATAGAATGAGTCTCTAAAGGATTCGTTTGTTTTAAAATATAGGTCAAGGGCACATTTAAGTTCTCTGAAAAGTTCAATTGTATGACCCACTCATTTCTTTCTTTTTTAAAAAATTGTATCTTATTCAGAATTTGAGGTAACCTTGGTTTACAACTAATTCAGGGTATAGGTTCACACTTCAGACATGAACCACCATTAAAACACCATTTGGTCCCCTCCCCCATTTCATCCCCATTCACTTCTCAACACTGAAGAACCAAGAGCCATCTATTAAGTGTCCTGGGCTTTCCTGACCAGGGAGAGCCCATCCCAGCCCAACCTCGCTGAGTCTCTTGGCTCCTGCCTTCCATCCACATGCGCACCCAACCTTCCTTCCACTTGTGGGCGAGGGGGGCAGACAAGAAGGTAGCTCTACCTGAACCGGCAAGGTCAGGACCTGGTTCCATATCGGGTTATCAGTTTCGGTTTGCACAAAGGTCTTGAGCTGGGAACATCCAAAGCAGTGTTAGAGCCAGCCCGGCCCTTCCTCTGTGCCTTGGCCTCCCCTCCCAGGCTCCCAGCCCAGCCCAAAGATGGTGAATACCCGCCCACAAAGGGAATCCCTGAGCTAAGGACACTCCCTCTCAGGCAGCGCTCCACTCCACCTTTAAAACTGATCTTATGCTAAACAGTCATGTAAGTGGGAATGAGGATGAGTTGGAGTAGTTAAACTTTTCAGTATATGCTAAGAAAACTACAGAAATATTAAAATGTTTAGAAAACGTGCACACACCATCTAAGAAAATCTCACCTTGCCCTGAGGTTCCCCTACCACTTGTTGGGAAATGCTAAGTGGGGTGGACTAAAAATACGCCTGCTGGTCCTTTGGTATGCCCCCTTCAGAAAGTGGACACTAACCTCTGCCCTGTAAGTATAGACTGGATTTCATGCCTTTTCTAACAAGCAGATTATGGCTAAATAGGACAGGAAGCCTGTTTAACTTACCCCAGCATTTCCCAAATGTGAACACAAGATCCTTTTTTGTTGTTCTTTTTTGCCTAGAACACCCATCAGCACCCGCTGGAAAGAGCTACTTTATATTCACAGAGGTTCATGGACTGTCAGGAACTCTCTTACCCAGAATCTCCAATTTATAGATATGAAACTGAGTGAACAGTGACAGTTTCAGTGTTGTTTATTTGTTCAGTACGTTACTACAGTCACTGTGCATTTGGTTTTCAGTGGACATCTTCTCTGGGCTACAGAGTGACAAAGCCAGGGCACCACCTTCCCAGAGTTCCTGGTTCACTGCCCATCGGTGGGATTCTCGAGGTCCTGTCCACCAACCCAATCTTTCCTCCAGGCTGTTTTTCCCCAGGTGCAGAACCCTCATCTTACTTACCTTTTCTCCGACTAGTCCCACCTCCAACATAGGATTCACTAAGTGGTGTTTCTCTATGAACAAGAAGTTAAAAGTTTTCTGAAAGCAGCATCATTTATGCTTTGGAGGAAATGCAGAGGTACCAGAACAATTTAACCCTCCCCCTCCACCAATAATTTTATGTGATGACCTTGGACAGACCTCTCCCATGGCCACCCACTCTGTGTGCCATTATGTGTCATGGCTTGTATATGGCAGCAGGATGGGGGCTGGCGTAGGGTGTCCTGAGTCTATGTCTGGACATCAAAGTCAGGACAAGAGCATTTGGCCCATTTGAAAGCATATCCACAGTGCCTTAAGAAAATAATTCTTGGTGGATTTCATCTCTCCTCTCCCCCAGACCCCAAATCTTAGTGTCAAAATGGAATAGGGAAGCTCCATGAGAATCCAGGGTGCCAGGTGTCTGGCACCTCAGAGATGCTCTCCCATCCCGCCCTGCCCCGACTCTAACTGAGATGGAGGTCTTCTCCACAGTAGATGAAGAATTGTAAGTAGATCATTGTGATAGGGACCACGGCTGACTTGAAGATCTGAGTATCGGTGTCATCAGTCTCAAAGGGCAGCTTTTGATCTACCTGGAGAGACCAGAGAGCTGATAGAGTCAGGGTCATGGGGAGGTCATGGCCAAGACCACCGTTGGCTTCCTTGACCTTCCACTTGGTATGGGAGGAGGAAGCAGACATCCCAAATTAAATGAAAGTGTGTAAAGATTCAATGGCCAATTTGAGGGCCCAGGGTATCCCACAGGGTGAGAAATGTTACAGGGAGAAGGTGAATAGCCTCACCGGGATCTGGTCTCCTGCACCGAAGGCACACATGGTGACTTTCAGGTAGCCTCTTAGGCCACTGTTGGGATTTTCTGGCTGACAGAGGCCTAGCCATTTCCTTAGGAATGCGTGACCTAGAGGAACAAAGGGCCTTGGGAAACCAACCCTCCAGTCTCCATCCTTCTTCCCTGAAACCAGGGTTTGTTTCTATGGGAGGGGGTCATGGAAATGTGTCTCATAGGTTCTGTTTTCCATTCCGTAGCAGAGGAAAATGGAAATCACTCCCGCCATTAAGCAATAGAGCACACTGACAAAGTTGCCAGTTGCTGCCTTTAGGCAACAGGGACCCCTTTCTCCTATCCTGGGGACTTACAGTGACTGCTACCCAGATGTGAGAGAGGCAAGCATTTCCTCAAGCATAAGCTCAAACTACAGTGTGGTATATAAATTATGACCAGATCACAGTGGTTACTTCTCAAACTTTGGTCTCTCAACACTGACCTCAAAAATAGAAATTCAGCCCCATAAAGTATGGTGAGATATTATCAAAGACAGAAAATAATTTATACTCTCTAATGTTCTCTCCCTTGTGTTGAACATACAGGGATTTTGAGATGTTTGGACACCTGGCCTGACTTTTCTCAGGAGACAAACATATTTGCAACAACAGTTACCTACCTGGGGAATGGTAAATAAACCCAATATCTGTCTGAAAATACAAAAGTGAAATAAGGATTAGTTAGGGTCTCCAGGAAAAAGTTGTAATAACAAGTTAAACTGAAGACAACACCAGCCACTGGGGTTTGAGCATGACCTGCCTTAATTCCTTTAATCTTTCCACAAACTGCCAGTTGGTCCGTTCTCACCTCTATTCTCCAGTACTTCTCCTGAATGGGCGTTTGAGAGAAGTGCACAGTGTCTTACACAAGCAAGGAACTAGCCATCACATAGCACTGCCTATCAAACATAGCATTGCAGGCCCCTATCCGCGGATGAGGGAAGGGTACCTCCAGGCCCAGGGAAAAGGACAGTCAGGGAGGAGGTGCCAAAGTGCATGTCTTCCCTTGCCCCTGGGAGGCAGTTTCTGACTGAGGTCTGAGGCCTCCGGCACAAAACTGAAGGTTGTGCAAAGCAAGACACCCATCTTTATAATCCACAGCTGAAGGCTCCGTAGAGCAGTGCCCAAGTTCTGCATGAGGGCTGATTTAAATTGTTATCAGGGAAGTAGAAAGTAAAGTGGCAATGAGATTTCATCATGTATATTAGAATGACTAAAATAAAAAAGACATTATATCAAGTATTGATTGGAATGTAGAACATCAGCACCATTGATGGGAAGATAAAATGGTAAAATCTTTTTGGAATTTCTTGGGGAAAAAACAGTAGGGATTTTCTTCTTAAAAGTACAATATCCAGCCCTCCCTGGTGGCGCAGTGGGTTAAAGCACGGCACTAAGAAGCTGAAGCCACTTCCACATGAGTTCGACCCCTGCCTGCCCTGGAGGGATCCCACATGGCGCGGCAGACCTCTCCTGACCACCCGCTGCTCCCCTCAGCAGTGTACTTTGACAATCTGCCTGTTCTGCTCCCCACTCTGTCTCTGGTGAATCCTCTCACTGCCCCTGCACCTCTGGCCTGTACCCAAGTTCTGTATGCATAAATAAATAAGTCTTTTTAAAAAAAAGTACAATATCCACTTCTGTGTACTTACTCAAGAGAAATTAAAGCAAATGTCCACTAAAATTTCTAAATCAATGTTACAATAGCCATATTGAAAAATGGAAAATCTAAATGTCCATTAGCAATGACTAGATAAACAGACTATAGTATACCCTTAAATGGAATATTACTCAGTGATAAAAAAGAAACAAGCTACTGATATATGCAACAACATGATGAATCTCAAAATAATTTGCTGAGTGAAAGAGCCAAACAAAAGAGAGTACATGGCCCTCCCTGGTGGCTCAGCAGGTTAAAGCACAGCACTAAGAAGTTAAAGCCACTTCCGCACAAGTTCAATCCCCACCCTGGAGGTGACCACATGGCGTGGCAGGCCTCTCCTGGCCTGCCTGCTGCTCCCCTCAGCAGTGTATTTCATTGATCTGCCTGTTCTGCTCCCCACTTTGTCTCTGGTGAATCCCCTCACATCCTGACCTGTACCCCAGTTCTGTATGCATAGATAAATAAATCTTTAAAAAAATGATGTGATATTTGAGACATGATTCATAATTATCCAGTGGAGGGGAGAAAGGAGGCGTGAAACTGGCCAATGTAGATAAAACAGGGTTGGTGAATGAACTGGTGAGGTTGAGGGATGAGGATGTGGGAATGCAGGACACTATACTCTCCGGTTTTCATGTACTTGATATTTTCCAGAAATGCAATTTTAAGAACAAAAAAAGTGCAGCATTATCACTGCAGCATAATTCCCATCCCCGGCCAGCAGACCTCTCCTGTCTCCCCCACTGCTACTGAAATATAGTGGTGTATTTCAGTAGGTCCACCTGTTCTACTCCCCATTCTGTCTCTGGTGACTCCTCTCACTCCTCCTCCACCCCCACCCCACACACACCTATGGCTTACACTCCAGTCATTCTATACATATATAAGTAAAAATAAATCTAAAAAAAAATGAGGTTGGCTTTTTTGATTCTTCCTCCATTTTCTGGAGGTCAAGACAAACTATGTCTAGGGTATTGCAAATGTGGGTTACTCAAGATGGCTCTGGTGCTTTCATAAATGTTACTTTCATTAATCCTCACAGTGATCCTGTGGGTTGAATGTATAATTATCCTCATTTTACAAATGAGGTCTAGACAGAGGCTCACAATAACTTGGCCAAGTCACCCAAGTTAGTAGGTGGATCCGAATCTGAATTTTCTGCACCAAATCCAGGTCCTTTCCTTTAGACCAAGGCCTGAGCCCAGGCTGGACCTCTGTTTCACCAAACCTCTGCTAGGTAAGTGCTTACTTGGAATCTCCCAATCTCTGAATGGAATCTCAGCAATGAGGAATTCATCACCTGTGGGGAACATCCAGAAAGAAGTCAGTTATTCACAACCCCAGTTTTCCCCATCCTCAAGGGAGAAGGTATAAGGGCATATAAGGATTCTCAGGACTTACTCAACATTTCTACCAAGGTTTTTTCATTTACTGCTCAGAGGAGCCCTGTAAGGTTCAGGTTTTTAGTTCTGCTTCAGTGCTGAGGACACTGATCAGAGAAGACAATTCACTTGCACCTCAACACAAAGCACTCGGATTTCCTGCTGCATGCAGTCTGGTTTTTTCCAACAAGTTTGTGCTCCCAAGACCTTGCTGGCTCCTGAGGGAGAAGCCTCTCTGCGTGAACCTGCCCTGGGCACAGAGGAGGCACTTGGCAAACACATGCTCGCCATTGTCACCTGGCTTCCACAGGTCAGGGAATACCTCATGTTGAGGGGAGCCTTGAGGGATCTTCTGGTGGCATGAGAATTCTGGCATGGAAGGGTCTGCTCTGTTCACATCAATACCTAACTCAGGGCTTAGCACTTGTCTATCTGTAAATTCTATAACATTTGTTGAATGAATGAATGGATGGTCTGGGATGCTGGAGAGTGAAGACGGTGCCAGAGATGCTGACTTAAGGTCAGAGAGGCAATGTCTAGCCACTCTGGGCTGGGGGATGAACTGCTTCCCAGGATGGAGGAGGGGTCAGAAAGAGGAACCATCTTGTCTGACTCGTTACCCTGATTAAGATGAGCTCATCAAAGAATTTTGCAGGCATCTCATAAAAATTGTGGACGAAGAGCTGAAAAAGAAAGAAGGAGATAGGATGTCTGACATCTTGTCCACACTTCATGTGGGACTCAGTGAGCCTAAGGGTTCAGCTGAACATGCTTCTTCCCCCCCCCCCCTTTGCCCATTTCATCTCTTTCAGCTTGCCACCATGCTCACATTCCTCCTCTGAAGCAGACAGAGTCCTGGAGCAGCTTCTGCCGTGGTGATCTCTCCAGGGAGAGATCCCTGGAGAACCTAAGCCAAGGCCCAGCTAGCTGCTCTGAGCTGGAGATTAGACACCTGCCTCCTTGCAATTACCCTGTCAGCCCTCTCCACCACCACTCCACGTTGCTGCCAGCACCGCCTTTCTCAAGTGCTGAACTGGTCATGTCACTGACCTGATTATGTCCTTCACAGCTCCCAGGTGCCCTCCATGCAGACCCAAGCTCATCTGGCAGGCTCCCCTGCAGCAACACTCATATCTACAGTTCTGCTTCTTTCTTCCAGGCCTCTGCAAATACTTCTTTTTCATGAACTGCCTTCCCTCACCCTGTTCTTTCCCTGGTAGAACCTTCCTTTGTGAGCCTTTCCTGAGTCCTCTTCTCTCTGCCCTCTCTACTGTTGTTTCATTTCTCTTCACCAGCCAATTCAACAAGTATCCCTAGAATTCCAATTGTGTATGAGAAAGGCTGCAATTTGGGGATATGACAATGCCTCACCAAGGGGTTTCAGGACAAGGCAAGACAAACGTGGCCTGAGGTTGCATTTCGCAGCTGCATTCATGACCCTCCTAGACCTCTGTCACTCCAGTCTTACTCCAAGGTTGTTATTTATGTGTTCACATGCCAGAGCCCCCAGGTCTCACTGGCTCCTCAAATGCAAGTATCTAATAACTTCACCTACAGCCCCAGCCTAGCACAGTGCTCAGCCCTCCAGGTGCTCAGGTATCGTGGAATAATTAAGAAACAAGTTTGCAGGCGGCCTATAGGAAGCACCACTTGGCCATAGTGTCTTGCTCAGTCCTGAAGGTCAGGTGTGCCCACCTCATTAAAGAAAGGGTTACTTCCCAACTGGACTCGGGTGTGGTACTCATGGCCTCCGATGACCACCTTCACCAGCGCCTTGATGTTGTTGCCCATGAGCTGTCGGGCTTCAAACACCTTCACTCGGACCTAGAAGAGAAAACGGGAACCTGACTTTGTGGGCCCAGGCCTCCTTCTCCAGTGGGCTCCTCTCTGCAAGAACAGATGGCCTGGTGAGAAATAGCTACTGGGGGTAGAGAGAGAACCTCTGGGAGAAGCCGGGGGGTCTGGGGGTGGGAGATAGGAGGGTTGGGTGGGGGAGAGGGTTCCTGCCTGAAGATAAGCCAGGGAGGGTCTGTTACTTTCTTTCTGCTTCTGGGCATTGTCACCTGACCTTCTCATCTTGTGTAGACCTAGAGTTATTGGTACAGGCTTATTACAGAATAAAAAGATAAAGTCTAACATTTCTCAGTGACTTATGTGGGGTTTTTTTTGCCTATGACCTTTTCTTAGGAATTGAAAAGTATCAGTTCTATACAATTGAATCTATGATCTGTGATTTGATCTCTGATTTGTAGTTTCTTCCTCTGCTTTATGTAATCTACAGAGGCTCAGTAAAGGGACTATGACATCTAACCTAGAATCAAAAGACAAAGGGTGAAAAACAATGAGGAGAAGCCTGTGTAAGATCTAGATTAAGGAAGGGAAGGTGGCAGTGTCTGGTGGGCACTTGTCATGTGGTCATAGTAGTTAATAGTCTCCAGTTTGTCCAAATCAGACAGGGTTGGGCTATCTTTCAGGGTCTTCTTTGTCTCTATCACATCCAGGTACCCTTCAGGGATAGATACACATGCAGCTACTTGACCACAAGAGTGGGCTGAACCAGGGCCTGTCCTCGTGTCTGAAATCTAAAACATAAGAGAGGCAGTATTGGGCACATTGACCCACCCCGTGGTAAACTAGCCTGGTGGAAGGAATGGGCCAAGGCTACAGGTGTGCCAAGGCCTGGTGGCCAGAGAGGCAGGCTTGAGAATGGAGACTGCTGGTTATCTGGGCTGCTGGTACAGGGAGGCTTGGCCAGGGTAGGCTGGAGATATAGAGGTCCTGGAAAACCATCATAAGGACTTGGGTTTAGTCCTAAGGTCGCTGGGGTATCCTTTTGTTTAAGGACATTTTACAGCAGATACATGGCATCATGGAAATGATGTCTTTGAAAAACCACTTTGACAGAAGAATGGACAGGAGTTTGGGATCGGTATAGTTACTGAGGTGGTGTGGGGAGGGTGGGGCATGGTGGTAGCTCAGGCCGAGGAACAGAAGTGGCGATGAAGATGTGGGTAAAGTCAGGTGATAAGACCTAGGACTTGACGGTTGACTGGGTGTAAGGGGTGAGATTGTTACAGGGCAGGGAGAGGGGCACCACTGAACTCCCAAAACTGCTCTAAATAGGTTCTGCCATCCGCCACATCAAGGCAAAACATATAAGACTTTAATGAAAAGGGACTTTAATACAGTGAGTATACAATACAGAAAACAAAGAATATAATTTCTAAATCAAACACCTGAAGTTACCATCCCATCATGGACAAAAGTCAACCCAAAAGGGATTGGCCCAAAGCAAGGCCTGAAAGCTGCCACAAGACTAAAGCTCCTCTGGCCGGGACCCATGGAAAAGGGTCAGAGATGACCAGACAAGTCTGGGAGGAAAAGAGCGAAATCAAAATCAATATAAACACTGCCGTAGTCACCTCCCTACAGGTGTCTCACCCACATCTCTTTCAACCAGTCCAAGGCCAAGAAACAAACATGGTTTCTTCACATGCTCCCTGCTCCATGTGGCTTCCTCAGGCCTCCTGGCTCTCCATCCTGCTTCCTTCTTCTCCAGATTCCTTCTCTTCTCTCTTTTTCTCTCCTCAGCTCCACCTTACTTCTGGGTGGGGCAGGGAACCTGAAACTTCCCTTTTCCCTAGGGACCACCCAGTTACAAGATGAGGAAGGGAGGTAATCAAGGATGAAGCCCAGTCTCCTGAACAAGTGGCAGCAAAACCATAGCGGAAATATTAGATCAGGCTAGAGATCACAGGGAATTTGGTTAGCTATGGGGTTGTGATTCCGGAACTCACAGTTGAACCCATGGCCCATTCTACAGATCCCCCCAAACTCTCTTTAGCCTCTCTTGTGAGTCTAGCTTCACCTCGCATGTAGCTAGCTTGGTGTTTGGTGTTGCCAACAATCCCAAGAACTCCTGTAGGGCAGTGTCCTGGCTTCCTGCTCTGCTTCCCTAGCATCTTCCAGGGCCTGCTGGTACATAACCAACAGTGCTTCTTGTTGCCTCAGGGGAATTGTTCCAAGCTTTAGCTACATTCCCAGGATCCCCAGAATGGCCCTAGGGAATAGAGCAACAGGACCTGGGAACTGAGTGGGAAGCTCCAGTCCTGCACCTTCACTTTGTGGAGAGGAGGGAATGGCCTGGGAACATAGTGAGGGCTCATGTGACTTCCAGCCTGGATGGTCCTTACCTGAAAGTGCTGAGGCCTTGAGGACAGAGCCTTGGGCACGGTGGAGGTGGGAGCTATCAATTTCTGTCTAGTTGCCTCAAGTGCACTTATGTCCAGGTGGTCTTCATAACCTGGGGATACACAGCCCAGGTGGGTTCTTAGAGGCAGGAGCACAGGAGATTTTGAAGCGTTTTCCCCATTTCATTGTTTAATAGTTAGTGACCAGTCCTGACAAAAAAATGTGCTTTAAAGGTCCCAATGGGGGTACATGTTCTCCTCCCCAGAATATTTCATGGATCTCTTCCACCTTCAGTAACTATGACTCTTTGAGCCCCACTCTCCACATATAGGGATTCTTGAAAATGACCATTGATGCCTCCTTTGAAGTCCATTGTCAGGAGATGACAACTGGCATATTATGTGGCAGATAGTCTCAGCCAGGTATTTGGAGTTCTGTTCTCTAGACCCTAAGCTGGTCACAGTCCTTCTGTATAGGCCTCAAGGGATGGGTCTCAGTGGTCTCTAAGAACCCACCCATCTATACGTGGGGGAGGGCAGGGCTAAGCTTCTTGGAAGGACATACCTATCTTCTCAACATCCTGCTTGGTCATTTGAGTCACCTGTAGGTTGATAGTGCACTGCAAGGCAAAAGCAGGGGAGCTATAGGCCAGACCTTGTGGGCCTTGGCCAGGTCACAACATCAGTTCTGGCCCAGTCCTCCTGGGACCAGTGATGCTATTCATGACACAGGGCCACTCCGCGCAGTGGAAGGAAGTTATAAACCAGTGGGGAAAGAGCAATGGATTATAGAAGAGGGCACGTAGACAAGTAAGGAACCCCCTGGCAAGGGTGGCAACAGAAGGGATGCAAGGGGGGGTTGGGGGGTGGAGGGAAGAGGTGACTCAGGAACAGTCTAGAACCACTGGTCCTCACATCTCTTCTAGCCCACCATCTTACCTCTCTTGCAGGAACTGCAAAATTTTCTCAACTGACATGGCTCCAAGCACTCTCCTGCTCCAGCACCCATTCATCCTCTAGAATAGCACCAGAATTGCTTCTAGATACTCCCAGCTGCCTAAACCATCAGCATAGTCACAACTAGCCAGTCCAGACCCCAGGCCCTTCACAAAGCCCACAGCCCAGTTTCAACTTCTCCCCTACTTAGAAGCCCTCCCCACCCTCACCCTATACCACCCACATGGGTTGCCCACCCACCCTCCCTAAACCTGCTGTGCTGCCTTTTTCCCTCCAGCCTGCACACACGCACCTTATACCCCCTCCCTGGCCAGTGCATGGAGGGGTGTGAGGGGTGTGGTCACAATCCTTCTGTGACCCCTCAAGATTTTTCTGAGAACTGAATGTACAAATGGACAATGATCAGACTATATATGAAAATGGAAACTCGAGACACACTCTACAGCAATCAACTCAGGAAATGAACCCAACAGTTAGAGGAGCCAGTCCCAGAAACCAGCCTGCTACAAATCAAACTGGGAGGAAGTCGGACCACTCTGCCTAGCAATAATCCAGGAAGCCAAACAATAATAATCAGCCCAAAATGACTAGGACTTGATTAATAATGGATAGCTTCCCTAATTTTTGTCCCACTTCCAGGTTGCCAGGAGAGCACGCGTGGGCCTGTAGGCAGCTGCACAGGAGCCTGCCTTCTGCTTGGCCCACAGACAGCTTCGCCCCGCCAATGGCTTCTCACAGGGCGTGCCTGTCCCCTTCCTTTTGGCCACCGTAACTCTGGCCCACTCCTGTCTTTCAGTTTCTGGCAAAATACAAGGGATGGTGGCTGACTCCCTCGCTATGTAGAAAGCTCTGAATAAGTAAATAGCTTCTGCCTGTCCTCATTTGGATAGTTCCCTGTTTGTTTCCTCGTGTCTTAATCGCCTCCTCTGTAAAGACTGCCATGACTTCCCACGTGGGAGCTTCATTCCTTTCTTTTCTCTTTTTTTCTTTTTTTTTAAGATTTATTTATTCATACAGAACTGGGGTACAGGCCAGAGATGCGGAGGGTGAGAGGATTCACCAGAGACAGAGTGGGGAGCAGAACAGGCAGATCAATGAAGTACACTGCTGAGGGGAGCAGCGGGCAGGTCAGGAGAGGTCTGCCACGCCATGTGGGTCTCCTCTGGGGCAGGTGGGGATCGAACTCATGTGGAAGTGGCTTAAGCTTCTTTGTGCTGTGCTTTAACCCACTGTGCCACCAGGGAGGGCCTTCATTCCTTTCTTAACTCAGCACCACCGACCCCGTGTCTGGGCTGGAGTGCTCGCACTGGGAGCAGGGCCTCTTTAATGGATGGGAGGCTTCGTTTACTTTTGTAGCTCAGGCCCAGCCCAGTACCTGACACTCCTGACACCCCACAGGTGAGCAGCTGACTCATCAATCTAAAAGCGTAAATGGAAGGGTAAAAGGGTAGAGGGGTGGAGGGTGACTGGATGGCCGCATGGGAAAGTAGGAAGATGATGGCCATGCCATCTTTCCTGGGGCCTGACTCACAGCCGTGGGCATCATGGAGCGATCAAGCAACTTCAGGTTCTTCACATAAAGGACTCTCTTCGGTTTATTCACCAAAGACTTGAGCAGTATTGTGCCCATTCCAATGAACCTGGGAGTAGGAGCAGCAGGTGGGAAATCCTAAGCCAGGGAAGGTGTGTGCGTCTCTGTCAAGCAAGACTTTATCTAGAGATGTTTTCCCCAGGAGAGACTCGGGGAGACACCGAGGACACGCAGTGAGGTGGAGTCTCCACCAGAGGGCGCAGACCTCTCAAGTCTCTGGGAATTGGCCTTGGGTCTCCCTGAGCAGTGTGGGTGTCCTAGACTCTGCCCTTCCCATATGGCTGCCAGCAGCTCTGCTTCGATTCTTCTCCTGAAGGGAAACTGATTGGTCAAGGAGTAGACAGTTGACTGAAACTGGGCCAGTCCATTGCTCTGTCCTGGGAGGCTGTCATGCGTGTCAGGCTCAATGGGATGTCATCTCAGTTGGCACTAGAATGGGCTCATGATAGGAAGCCAGGATGGGGCAGAAAGAAGCAGGGATTTGAGATCCTATGGTGTCAGAACAGACAGACTGCTCCTGAGCTCACAGGTTCCTAGTTCTCTTGAGTCTGCTGTCCTCCTGTTGCTGCCTTCCACAAATCCCCCACCCTGTGTGTGTTTGCCGTGTGGAGTGGGTTCTGGTCCTTGCAGCTGAGTGAGCTATGGATTCAAGTTAGATAGTGCTTCATCTGCTGCAGCTTTGGTCAGAGGCAGACACACTCTGTCTCACCCACCTTTCTTTCTTTATTGCGTTCATGTCCCGAAGGATGACTTGCAGGGAAGAGTCATTCTCCAGGGGCCAGTTTGCGAGGTGCCAGATTAGGGTCTGTGGGAGACACAGAGAAGTCTGCATCCTTTTTCCTCTCTCCCCCTTCCCATCTTTCTAGGAAGCAGGAAAAGGTGTAGGGAGTGGGATGGTGCCAGCTCTCTGAAATTGAGGAAGTCCCCTTGAGTCTGACTTCCTAAGAGGTTGACATTTGCTACTTCTCACCAAAGTGCCAAACATCCTACCTGGGCTTGAGCTGCAGTATTTTGAGGATATTAGTGATGGAGGGTTTGGGTTGGGGAACATGGATGGATGAAGATGAGAGGGAAACTTGTCTTCACTTCAGGCTTCTGGAAACATCAGGATGGCCAGGTTGAATAATGGCAATACCATGTCCATCCCCAGATGGACCAACACAGGTACAGAAAGATGTGACCTGCAAAGCCCTGTTGGCTTAGCCCATGATGCACCAGCCTTTGGGAAAGCTAGTGAGCCCCGCCATCTTCTCCCTGGATTTCTGAGCATGGCCTGGACCCAACCTTATTACTGCAGAAGTTGTTGTTTGATCTGGGCTTGCCCTCATATGTCTTACCTCATTCCATATGGGGTTGTTCCCTTCCAGCTCACGGGTTCTCTTCTTGAAATCTGCAAAGACACCAGGGGGCTTGCATTATCACAGGGAAGGGTTTCAAAGTCTAAGGTTCAAATGGGGTAAGATATGTAGGGCTCTCCAGGAAAACGTCAAGTGTGCATTGGTAGGCATGACATGACGCTGACTCATTCTGACTCTGGAGATTACAAAATGTCTCACTTTTTATTGGAGTAACACCTTACCTGACAGGAAATGTTACAGTTTCATTTCATTTTTTTTAACATTTATTTTTATTTATTTATGCACACAAGAATTGGAGTATAAATCAGAGGTATGGGGGGGTGAGGGGTGAGAGGATTCACCAGAGACAGAGTGGGGAGCAGAACAGGCAGATGGACTGAAATACACTGCTGAGGGGAGCAGCGGGTGAGGCAGGAGAGGTTTTTCTTCCCTGGTACAGTTCTAGCCATTTTGCAGAAGGTGGCTCCAGGTGACTTGTTCTGCCCAATGGGGTATCGAGGCGTATCAGCCACTGCCATGAGATTTTTTACTCCCGTTCCCCCACTCCCCACGTCCACCCTCAGTATCTGCAGGCCAGGTGGTGCCAGTGTAATTCAGCAGCCAAGGGCAGCAAAGAGCCTTTCCCTAAATGACTATCTGGAGGGGCTGCTTAGGGAGGGTGACCTGCCAGGTCTTGGTGTGAGAAGAGGTAAATTTGTACTGATTGAAGGCACTAAGACTTTTTTTTTTTATTTTTTTATTTTTTTTTTTTTAGAAGATTTTATTTTATTTGTGCATACAGAACTGGGATACAGACCAGAGATGTGGAGGGTGAGAGAATTCACCAGAGACAGAGTGGCGTGCAGAACAGGCAGATCAACGAAATACACTGCTGAGGGGAGCAGCGGGCGGGTCAGGAGAGGTCTGCCACGCCATGTGGTCACCTCCGGGGCAGGCGGGAATCGAACTCATGAGGAATCGGCTTTAGATTCTCAGTGCTGTGCTTTAACCCGCTGCACCACCAGGGAGGGCCGACTTTTTTTTTTTTTAAAAAGATTTATTTATTTATGCACACAGAACTGGGGTACAGGCCAGAGGTGCAGGGGTGGTGAGAGGCTTCACCAGAGACAGAGTGGGGAGCAGAACAGGGCGACTGAGGAAGAACACTGTTGAGGGGAGCAGCGGGCGGGTCAGGGGAGGTCTGCCGTGTGAAGGCACTAAGACTTTAAGGGTTTGTTTATTAACAGAGCTAAGTCCCACACACTCTAAAACATCCTGAAACATCTCTAATATGTGGAGATCTATTTGTGCAGTAAAATTCCTGTTCTTCAGAAATATCTTTAACAGGGCTTCCCTGGTGGCACAAGGGTTGTTTCTCAGCACTAGGAGACTATCCACAGCCACTGCAGCACGCGTTCAATCCCTGGCCAGGGAGGTGGCCCACATGGTGCAGCAGACCTCTTCTGTCTCACTCACTGCTCCTCTCAGCAGTGTACTTTATTAAATCTGCCTGTTCTGGACCCCATTCTGTCTCTGATGAGTCCTCTCACCTCCCCCAACACACACCTCTGACCTACACCTCAGCTCTTGTATACATTAAATAAATAAAACAAATCTTTTAAAAAAATAAAACTATCTTTAACAAAGAACAGCCTGTAGCCCTGCCAAACACACACACACACACACACACACAAAACAAACAAACAAAAAACAACCTAAAATACTTTTGAGACTCTTTCCAAAGAAAGAAAGAGTATTTGGGTTGAGAATCAGGAAGGGGTACAGAGTAATGATTTATAGTGGAGGAGGGGCTGGGAATATAGGTGGATAAGAAATTAGAAATAACAAATACTTGGGCCTTTCCTGGTGGCCCAACAGGTTAGGACGAAGCACTGCAAGTTGGCCGCTGCCACTTCAGTGCGAGTTCGATCCCAGCCCCAGAGGTGAGCCACATAGAGCAGCAGACCTCTCCTGACCCACTCCCTGCTCCCCTCAGCAGTGTACTTCATCAATCTGCCTGTTCTGCTCCCCACTCTGTCTCTGGTGAATCCTCTCACTACCCCTGTACCTCTGGCTTGCACCCCAATTCTGTATGCATAAATAAGTAAATCTTGAAAAAAAAATAACAAACTCAGTTATAAGAATTTATAGGAAAATTTGCTGGCTAATCGAGAATTCTGGGTTTTAGGCATCTTTGTAACAGATACTGTTCCAGAGCAGGGAGAGGGACACTCCTGAACCCCCAAACTTGCCCACTCTAAATTAAGTTCTGCCATCCGCTGCATCAAGACAAAATATATAAGATCTTTAATGGAAATGAACTTTAATACAATTAGTGTGCAATACAGAAAAGACAAATGATACCGTTTTTAAATCAAACACCCGAAGATACCCATCCCTCAGGGGCAAAAGTCCACCCAAAAGGAATGGGCCCAAAGCAAGGCCTGAAAGTCCATCTGAAGACTAAAGCACCTTTTGGCCAGGACCCATGGAAAAGGGTCAGAAATGGCCAGCAAGTCTGGGAGGAAAAGAGCAAAATCAGAACCAAGGTAAACGTTGCCATAGTCACCTCAACCCAGGTATCTCACCTTCACATCTGCCTGCCTCCTGTGCTCCCTCAGGGCTCCTGCTGGCTCCCCATCCTGCATCCCTCCTCTTCAGTCTCAACTCCTGATTCTTTTCCTCCCTGCTCAGTTCCACCCTCCTCTGGGTGGGGCAGGGAACCTGGGCCTCCCCTTTTCCTGGGGAACCCTCAGCGGGAGGAGGAGGAGGCTCAAGGTAAGGAACAGGAGCTGTTCCCTGCTCTTGCGCAGCAGTCAGTGAAGCAAAGACCCAGGGTCATCCATGACACCTCCTCAGCCAGGAGACCAGGGGACACAAACAGCCTCACTCTGAGCTGGAGTCTCAAGTGTTCAACCCAAGTGTTGCCATGTTGAGCAAGTGATAGAAAGCCTTGTTCTCCTTTTCTCTTGGTCCCAATTTTCTTTCTTTTTTTTTTTAAGATTTATTTATTTATGCATATAGAACTGGGGTACAGGCCAGAGGTGCAGGGGCAGTGAGAGGATTCACCAGAGACAGAGTGGGGAGCAGAACGGGCAGATCCACTGACATACACTGCTGAGGGGGGCAGCGGGCGGGTCAGGGGGCCGTGCCATGGGGGTCAGCTCCCTGGCCTGGATAGAACTAGTGCTGAAGCGGCTGTGAGAGCTTCATAGTGCTGTGCTTTAACCTGTTGCATCACCAGGGAGGGCCGGGTCCCAATTTTCTTCTCCCCATACTTCCCCCATTTGCCCACACCCACCTCCACCAACAGTTCCTTTGCCTTCCCCTCATCTCCTTTTGCCCTCAGCTATTGCTATGTACATGTATTTAATCTCTTTCATTCTCTCAGATCACCTTTCTTAGACTTTTTGGGGACATTTTCCTTTATCTACAGAATGGAGATATGAAAACTTACAAAATTGTGAAGCATAAAACCCTCATGTCTGTGAAGAGGTTTTGTTGGTGGTAAAAGCAAGTCCCATTACTGTGCAAATCTTAGAACGTGTACAAAGAGTTGTATACACGTTATCTTTTAAAATCCTTACACAGAGGGCCCTTCCTGGTGGCACAATAGTTAAAGCACAGCACTGTGAAGCTAGCCTCAGCCACAGGCGCACAAGTTCAATCCCTATTAGATCCCCGGCCAGGGAGGTGACCCACATGGCAAAGCAGAGTTCCCCTGACGTGCCTGGTGCCCCCCTCAGCAATGTATTTCTCTAGATCAGCCTGTTCTGCTCCCCACTCTGCCTCTGGTGAATCCTCTCATCCCTGCCCTTGAGCCTGTACCCCAGTTCTTGTGTGCATAAATCAATCTTAATAATAATAATAATAATAATCCTCACAGCGATCCTATGAAGTAGGCAATCTTTTTCTTTCAGTTTGGGGCACAGTCTTCATTCATAGAAAAAGCTCAAGAAATATTAATCTTCTCTTTTCCTCAAGGCATTCCATGGGAAAAAATAGGAGGCAGAGGCACCATAATAAGAGAAAGAGTAATAACAAAGGTGACAAGTCTTGAAAAAACTGGATGGTGTCTATCTCACTTTTCTGTCACAGGGGGTATTTTTTTTTAAAGATTTATTTATGCATATAAATAAATATAATATAAATATGCTGGGGTGTCAGCCAGAGGTGTTGGGGTAGGGTTGAGAGGATTCATCGGAGACAGAGTGGGAAGCTGAATAGGTGGATTGGCCAAAATACTCTGCTGAGGGGCGCAACAGGCAAGACAGGAGAGGTCTGCTGCACCATGTGGGTCAGCTCCCTCCCCGGGGATTGAACTACTGCTACAGTGGCTGCAGATTGCTTCAAGGTCCTGAGAGTTCACCCACATGGGGTATCTTTTATATAGTAAAAACAATACATCGCCTCCCCTCCACAAGTCTGTTGCTTTTTGGGGATCCTCCCTGCCACCCAGGACACTGCCTCTTACCTCTGAAGTAGATGGACATGCAGGGTCGGGGTGGGGGGCTTCGGGGAGGTTCAATACTGGCTGACTCTACAAACAGCCGCAGCATCTCGCCTGCTTCCTTCTGTCCCTCTAAAGCGAGGCTTCCTTCTCAAAACTTCCTTCTGGGCCCAGGGTTTCTCCTTATCCACAGGGGCCAGCGGAGCCCTGGTGTGTTGCCTAGCAACAGGGACCCTGTCACAAAGGTAGTCGTTCTTGATTCCGAGGAGGAATTGAGGGGGTCCTTCATGTGCGTTAAGGTTTTGACTGCGTTAGGATTGAACACAGTAGAAATTACATCTTATCCAATGGTCAGTGTGACAATTATTGGGTATTTTTTAAATGGGTGCTAGCTAAGCAAACACTTCCACAGTGAGCTGACTACAAGTTCTACAAGGCTTCGCCTTCAAAGACCAGGAACCTAGAGCATGAGGTGGTGCTGCCCTTGTTTTCTGTGGCAGCATGCTTTAAAGACAGTTAAGCTGACAGTTTAACTGGCTTTATGACCGTTTATCTTTCTTTTTTACTTTTAAAGATTTTACGAACTTTCTGAAATCATTAATGAACCGGGCAGCATCCAACCTAACCAGTAGAAAGGATCTGGAAGAAGTTGCACAGAATGAAAGGGTTTTGTTTGGTTTCACTGTTACCAAACCTGTTTTAGTTTTCTTTTGGTTAACAGTGGTTCATGCTGTGTTTCAGAGGTATAGGATCTCTCCCATCAGGATCACGAAGGGCTTGCGGGGAGCATTGAACTCATGCTGAAGTGACTTTAGTTTCTTAGTGCTGTGCTTTAACCCACTGTGCCACTAGGGAGAGCCACTTTTGGTTTTTTTGATGTGGGCTTTGATGTGTACTCACAGGTGGTAGCTCATTGTGTTTTTGATTTGCATTTCCCTGATGATAAGTGATGAGCATTTTTTCATGTTGGCCATCTGAAGGAATGCTTTAAAAAAGTGCTATTTGGTTCTTCAGCCCATTTTTTTTTATTGTGTTTAATTTTTTTGTTGTTGCTGAGTTGTATGAGTTCTTTGTAGACCTTAGAAATGAGTTTCTTTGGGATGTATACTGTGCAGTTATATTTTCTCCTGGTGGCACAGGGGTTAAAGTCTCCATGCTATCAAGCTATCACTAGCCACTTTGGCATGACTTCAATCTCTGGCCTGGGGGCAACCCACATGGTGCATCAGAGAACTCCCCCTCAGTAGTGTGTTTCAGTACATCTGCCTGTTCTCCTCCCCACTCGGTCGCTAGTGAATCCTCTCACCCAGCCCTCCCCCACCCCGCACCTCTGGCCTGTACCTCAGTTCTGTATGCATAAATAAAAAATCTTTTTAAAAAATGCAATGAAATACCATTTATATCACTGGACAAATTTTAAAAATCCAGTTTCCAAATCTGACTAAAATGCTTTTTAAAAATTCAAATTCAGAGCCCTCTCTGGTGGCGCAAAGGGTTAAGATGCGGCACTTTGAAGCTCTCCACAGCCACAGCTGCTCAAGTTGCATCCCCCGACAGGGAGGTGACCCACATGGCACAGCAGACCTCTCTTGCCTCACCCATTGCTCTGTCCAGCAGTGTACTTCAGTAGATCTGCCTGTTCTGTACCCTACTCTGTCTCTGGTGAATCCTCTCATACCCTGCACCTCTCTGGCCTACACCCTTATGCATACATAATAAAAACAAAAATCTTTAAAAAGAGAGAGAAAAAATCCTGCCTTAAAAAAAATTCAAGTTCAGGCCCTCCCTGGTGGCGCAGCGGGTTAAAGCACTGCACAAAGAAGCTTAAGCCACTTCCACATGAGTTCGATCCCCGCCTGCCCTGGAGGAGATCTGCATGGCGTGGCAGACCTCTCCTGACCCGCCCTCTGCTCCCCTCAACAGTGTACTTTGTCGATCTGCCTGTTCTGCTCCCCACTCTGTCTCTGGTGAATCTTCTCACCCTCCGCATCTCTGGCTTGTACCCCAGTTCTGTACGAATAAATAAATAAATCTTTCAAAAAAAATTCAAGTTCATTAATAAGCAATTAACTGCAGCAAGATACCCTATGTCATCTCCTAAATGGGCAAAGACAATGGTAAAAAAGTCTGGTATGTTGAAGTAGGTGAGGGGCAGCTAAAAGATACAAATCTGTGGGGCTCTCCCTGGTGGCACAACATTATAAAGTTCTCTGAAGCCACTGCAGCCCTAGTTCAATCCCCGGCCAGGAAGCTGACCCACATGGCATGGCAGACCTCTCCTGACCCACCCATTGCTACCCTCAGCAGTGTACTTTGTTAATCTGCCTGTTCTGCTCCCCGCTCTGTCTCTGGTGAATATTCTCACCACCACACCTCTGGCCTGTACCCCAGTTCTGTAAGCATAAATAAAATAAGTCTTTTTTTTTTTTTTTAAGATACAAATCTGTGTACAGACTGATAGGAATATAAATGGAAAAAGAAGCCTGGTCCAGGGGAAGAGAATTTGGAGTAGGGAAAGGGACTGTCCTTTTTAAATCATTGCTGGTAGTATTAACCCCATTTCAAAATAGTATCCCTTGAATTTTTCAATGTCAGGCATTGTCTTAAATTGGCTTTCTCAGACCATTTCTTACTTCATTCCTGCCTCCCAGTTTGACTCCCAACCTTCCCCCAGTTGTCCTCTCAATACAATTATATCTCATTTGGGATATTAAGTCTACAGTCAATATTTTCATTCTTATGTTAATGCAGTAGTGGGTAGTGAATCAAATGGAGCTGGGTAGAGAAGGTTGAGTGAAGCTGGCCATAGTGAGCTGTGCAAACCCCGTGCCTGTCACTCAGGTCATTGGGCCTACTTGTTATGTCTTCAAGGGCCCTCCTCAGCACTTCCAGCCCCTCTGCAGTGGCTTGGGCCCTCCCTGGTGGCGCAAAGTATTAAGACGCAGCACTATGAAGCTTCCATGACATCACTTTCCTTCCATGACACCACTCAACTGCTCCTAGGGAAATTTTTCTTCTAAAACACCCTGGGGTCCATCGTGGTACTTACCATCTTGGAATCTAGTAGTGTTCTTGCCAGGTACTGTGTATTACCCTTTCTGTTTCTCAGCAGCCTAGTGAAATATTTGACGCTGTGGCTTTGCCAGGGTCATAAAGCCAGGGAGTTAAGCTCTAGAACTGGCACTCCAACTCCAAGTGTTTCCTCTCTGCCCTGAAGGGGAAGGCCTTCCCTTTATTCCCTTAACTCTCATAGGCAGGCCTATGGTCTGATTCACTTCTGTACTGAAGCTCTCAGGCAAGTTACAGAGATCTTTCTTTTAATTATTTTTAATAGAACTATTTTTTAAAAAATATTTATTTATGCATACAAGAACTGTGTGTAGGGGGGGTCGGAGAGGGTTCATCAGAGACAGAGTGGGGAGCAGAACAGGTGGATTGACTGAAATACACTACTGAGGGGAGCAGCGGGTGAGCCAGGAGAGGTCTGCCACACCATATGGGTCACCTCCTTGATGGAATATCGAACTCATGCTGCAAGGGCTGTGAATAGCCTCACAGTGCTGTGCTTTAAAGCTTTGGGTCACCAGGGAGGGCCCTAGACTTAATTTTATTAAGAGCGGTTTTATCCCTTTTATTTATTTTTACTACGGCTAAGATAGCAGAAGGGATGATATATAGTACACTAGTTACCTTCAGCTATGATTGAGAAGGTCCAGAAGATCATACACAGATCCTGGGCAAAAGAAAAAGTTTTTGTTTTGGTCTGAGCAAGGTGGGTCTCTCAGAGGTGGTGGCTGTGATAAGATGGTAGGGATGTTTAGGTCCAGTGAGACAAGTTCCAGATAGTATCACTCAGTCCAACAATTTGTACCGGTATTCCTGGCTTCTGGCTTTTCTCATTTCTGCTCCCGCAGCTTCCACAGTTGCTAGTTTACTTGGACCCCTGCCTCCTCTTTCCTTTTTTCAGCTTCAGTCTGCGTATTCACTTCTTTCTCCACGTGGCTCTCATGGCGCCGAGGTTTCTAAAATATGCTAACCACGAAAGAGGAGCAGAATTTTTTATTTTAAATTTATTTTTAAAAAAGATTTATTTATGCATACAGAACTGGGGTACAGGCCAGAGGTGCAGGGGCGGTGAGATGATTCACCAGAGACAGAGCGGGGAGCAGAACAGGCTAACTAACGAAGTATACTGCTGAGGGGAGCAGTGGGTGGGTCAGGAGAGGTCTGCCGCGCCATGTGGGTCACCTCCAAGGAGGGATCGAACTCTTGCTGCAGCGCTGCAGCTGCCTTCACAATGCTGAGCTGTAACCCGCTGCACCACCAAGGAAGGCCCCTATTTTTAATTTCTTTTTATTGTGATTGTTTCTGAGGGGCAAATTCTAAGCGAGTACAAGGAGGAGGGTCCTCAGCTGGGACAGAGGTGGAAAATCGGTTATGTGCCCCCCTCCCATCGCCGGTGAGGCAACAGCAAAGGAACAAAGAAATGGAGAGCGCCAGATTATGGCTAGAGGAGCCAGCCTCCACATTCGCCCCAGCTTCCCTGTGGCAAATACAGGAGGCAGAAACTCCCGACTCCGGCTGACTTTCTCCGCTAGCCGCCCGAGATCTCGGATGTCTTCCTGATTTTGTGGCCTCAGTTGCATCCTCTCCGGGTTTCCCCGCTCACCGCCCCTTCCGTCCCAAGAGAAAATCCACTTCCGCGTTTTATTTGGTTCCGGGAGCGACGGGGCGTGGAGGCGGTAACGCGCACGCGCACTGCGATCCGGCCCGGGCCGTGCGCGCGGCCCGACGATTGCGGGTGAGGGAAGGTCGGCCCCGGCGGGGTTGGCGGGCCCTGGGGGTCGGGGTCGGGGTCCGAATTGGCGGGGGCCTGGCGGGGTCCTCAGGGCTCTCAAGGATGCCGGGACTGAGAACTGGAGCCCAGGACTGGGGGGTCCGGATCCGGACGGGCGTGCGGGTCTGGGGAGGGACTTGGGCCGCCGTGACGCGGGAGCCCAGCCGGCCGGGGCGGGCGGGTGCGAGGCTGCTCCTCCTCATCACGAACTCTCAGTGACCTTGGCTAACTCGATTCATCTCACCGAGCCGGCGCCTTCATCTGTAACGCGCGAGTTATAAGCTCTGTCTGCTAGATGGGGCCGTTTTGAGGTTCACTGGCGAGACCCCCATAGAGGTACCTGGAGTGCCGGGCGGTTTGCCGGGTCGACTTCATCTGGGGTTCCTGGGAGCCAGCTAGTAATAGGCTCTGGGGAGGAACTCTCCTGTGTCTGTTAAATACGCTAGAGTATTTGCTAATACTCCTGTGTAGATGTTAAAAGCTCATTGAGTATTCTGCAGTAGTTGCAAAACTGTTATTTAACGTGAAACAAGAAACTTCAAGGAAATGAGCCCCTGCTGTGATGAGTTTCCTCGATTCCCACGCTGCCGGGCAGTTTTGGGGATGCTCAAGCTACCGAGCTGCCCAGAGCTGCCCAGCCTGTTCTGTGAAGCATTGGAGAATGCAGCAGCGGACACCCTTAGTTTTGGAAGAATTAACTTACCTGATTCGTGTTTGCCAAAAAACTTCCAGCCCACATAGGAGATTGTGGTGCTGGTTAAGCAAGTCTTATCATTTGTTCACTTGAGGCCTTTGTCCACCATGAAGCCACTTTGCTTTCCTGTTAAGGAATTTTGCAGAGATTGAGTATGAGGAATTCAGGCCACCACCATAATTTTTTTTTTTTTGGTGGTGATGGAGTCTCAGGAATCCTCCCTTTGTGGGCAAGAGTATACTACTATATATAATGAATAATAAGATCACAAAAACAAGAAATATATTAGATTGTGAGGTTAAAAGACAATTTAGAATGTTTCAATTGACTGAAATTGAAACTTTTCACCACAGGTGATGACCAGCATGCAGACACCTCTTCTCTGACCAGCTGCCTCTCCATTGACATGGCCCACCGTGGTGGGGAAAGGGACTTTCAAACTTCAGCACGGCGCATGGGTACCTCCCTGCTCTTCCAGCTTTCGGTGCATGAAAGGGAACTGGACCTGGTTTTTCTGGATCATAGCTATGCCAAGCCATGGAGTGCCCACCCAGATGCCAGTAGTGCCCGTCCTACCCGCATGCTCTTTGTTACTCCCCGAAGGCAGCATGAAAGTACCATGTGAGTTTGGGCTTCTGTCTTAAGGGCAGTGATCATATGGGGGGTAGTAAAGAGGATTTTATTGTGGAAGATCATATGGGGGTTTAAATGTTTATTCTGACCTCTCCGATAAGCAGCACAAGGATATCAGACCTATATGTAGACACACGTGTTCAAAATACCTTATGAATTAGGAAAGCAAAGTATTAAAGGAAATCAGTCAGCTTATTTTACTTAGATAATAGGATTTGAGTGGAAAGAAATTTGAAAAGGATTATGTAACTGGTGAAGGATAAGGCTGAAGAGTTGATTTTAAAAATTGCCATATAGAACCACTTATTCTTTTAATTCAGTGTCCTGTTCCAATAGTGTACTGTTCTGTAGTACACTAATACAGTAGTAACAATAATTTTTTTATGTCATAGCTTTACATTTCCTGACTTTGCCTGCAGTTTAGAGCAGTCCCAAGGCCCTTCTTTCTAAGCTTGTTACAGGATTTACCAGACAGTTGTGTGTAAATCCTTCTTAGGTCTTATTATGTTTCCAGCAGACTATATTATAGGGTAAGGAATTTCTTCATAAGTTTACTCTGTGATATGTTTAACATTTGCTTAAATAAATATGTTTGGCAATTCTTTTGAACTTTAAGGTCTTCCCATTATATTTTAAGATTAGCTGCTATATTTTGTTGGGATGATGGAGTTTTGCCCTTCATTTTATACTTTTCAGGGGATGAGGGTTTTTTTGTTGTTGTTCACTTTAATCTGATCTAATGTTTAATCTTCCCCCAGCAGAGGTTTTACTTTTGTTGGCAAACATAGATTTTGTCTTTTGCAGCTTTAAATTCCACCATTGACCCTTAATGTGCCAGAGGTCCCATGATGTATGTGTTGTAAACTTGTAGAATAGTGACTTTTACTTGATTTTTTTAATAAGGGTAGTATCTTGTTGATTTTTTTTGGGATCTCTTGACTTTTGGAAATAATCTAGCATAATGATGATGCCTCTTGTCTAGGGCATGGTGGGAAAATTAATTAGAATTTGTTGTTGTTTTAAGTTTTTTTTTAATGCATATAAGAACTGGGGTGTAGGTTAGAGGGGCGAGGGTTTGTGGATTCACCAGAGACAGAGTGGGGAGAAGAACAGGCAGATCTACTGAAATACACTGTTGAGGGGAGCAGTGGATGAGTCAAGAGAGGTCTGCTGTACTGTGTGGGTCAGCTCCCTGAACTCATGCTGCAGTGGCTGGTGATAGCTTGATAGCACTGAGGCTTTAACAACCCTTTGCCACCAAGGAGGCCCTTACCTAGAATTTGAAATCTTCTCTTAGCTAGGTAACATTTTCTTGCGGACAGTGAAACTCCAGTGCTCATATTGCATAGACATTTTTGGACAATCACGTTATTGATAATTAACCTGTACTGGGTGAAGTACATGCTCTCCTTATTTCCTCTCCTGTTTACAGTGAGTCAGATGTCCCAATAGATGTAGAGACAGTCACATCAACTCCTGTGCCACTGTACGACAATCAGAAGGCACGCACTGTGATGAATGAGTGTGAGCGCCACGTTATCTTCGCCAGGACTGATGCTGATGCCCCGCCACCTCCAGAGGACTGGGAGGAGCATGTCAACAGGTAGGCTGCTCTTCGGGGACTAGTCACTGCACGGTTAATGTTGAATATTTTCTCATCCTGAAATATGAGGATGAGAACTATACTTTAGCGCACTGTAATTTTTTTTTTTAAAGATTTATTTGTGCATACAAAACTGGGGTACAGGCCAGAGGCTCAGGGGCGGTGAGAGGCTTCACCAGAACAGAGTGGGGAACAGAACAGGCAGATCGATGAAGTACACTGCTGAGGGGAGCAGCGGGTGGGTCGGGAGAGGTCTGCCACACCATGTGGTCACCTCCGGGGCAGGCGGGAATCGAACTCATGCGGAGGTGGCTTTAGATTCTCAGTGCTGTGCTTTAACCCGCTGCGCCACCAGGGAGGGCCCCAATGCACTGTAAATTTTTAATCATCACTTTCATTGAAACACTTTTTTAGGAACTTATTTCATTTGCAACCCTATAGTTAAGAGTGTTCTCCTAACTTTCAGCTAGTTATTTAGTGAGCTTCTCAAGAACAGGGTTCCATCTCAGCCATCCTTGCATCTGTAACAATCAGGGCATTGCTGGCATGAAGTAGGGATATAGTCAGTGTTTATTGAATGAATAAGTGAATTAAATGTGATAGTTGTGACTAACTCTGTAGCTTACATAATACATTGTGATATGGAAGTTATCTAGACTATTCAAAAAGAAACGAAAAAAATATTAAACAAATGTACATTTGTAAGATACTATGTTTATGTGCTATAACCAGGGCACTGCAAATGTTCTATGAAATGTTCTTGTGAAAAGCAAACTTGTTTGATTTAAATGGCTTCTAACAATGGCTGTTCAGTCTTTGGTTCTGAGGGATTTTTTCAGCCCTTATTCATGATTTAGCTGGCAAGTTTTATTATTAGCGCTGAGGTCTCGCTAGGGCACTCTGGGTCATTGTTCATTTGGCAGGTATTTATCTTTTCTTAAGAATGTCTGAAGGTTAAATCCACAAACCACACAGCTCACCTGTTGCATGGTGTATAATCAATGACTTTTAGTATATTCATCACCACAGTCAATTTGATGAACATTTTCATCGTCCTAGAATGACACTGTACCTATTAACAGTATTTCCCATTCCAACCCTTCCAGTCCCTGGCAACCAACAGACTATTTGCCAGCTTTCTATAATTGCCTGTTCTGGATGTTTTATATAAAAACAGTGATATAACATATGATCTTAGTATAATTTTTTTAAGGTTCATTTGCATGGTCACATGTATCAGTACTCATTCTTCTTTATTACACAGATATACTAAATTTGGTGTATCCACTGATCCACTGATGGATGTTTGGGTTGCAAACACTTTGTGGCTATTATGAATAATGCTGCTGTGAGCATTCCTGTGCTTGTTTTGGTATGGAGATGTTTTTTCAATTCATATATATAGGAGTGTATTTGCTGGATCATAGTAAACTCACTGTATAAGTTTTGAGGAACTTCCAGACTTCTGAAAGGCCTGTACTATTTTATATTCCCCCTAATGGTGTGTTAGAGTCTGCAGGTTTTCCACATTCTTGACCACACTTGTTACTATCTGTCTTTTTAAAGGGTTATCGCTGACACCATTCCAGTGAGTAACATGACCTCATGTGGTTTTAATTTGCCTTTCCCTGATGGCTCTCTTATCTCTACATTTATCTGCTATGTGTAAGGAAATGTTAAAGTCCTTGTATCAGTCAGCGGTTAGTAGGTTCCAAGCTTGCTATAATGTTAGAGAGCTCTTATTTTATAATAATTGAAGAAAAGGTTAACTTGCTAGGAAGAAGGGCAGGAAAGTTTGACTCATGATCTGCAAGTCTGCCAGAAGCAGGGAATGAGATTGAACAGGTATGCTAGTGTGATCAAGGTAGAAGCTGTTGAAGGAGCAGCATATCTGTATCTAAGTTGAAGAGCTTGTATCTGAGTTGAAGAGTTGTTTGGGGTCTTGAGTTGTAATTAATGTTGTGCCCCAAGTTGGGCCATTGCTCTGTAGATCTTCAAATAAAGAGGAAAACGGCAAATGACCAACCTTACTGGAAAATCACAGGAGTGATGAACTCAGCAAAAGTTTATCTTCATTGTTACAGTTAATAACAGTAAAATATAGTGACAATGGTGGTAATAAAGAAAAGCTGCCACTTACTGAGTGCTTTTTAGGTGCCAGGCACTGTGCCAAGAGCTTCATCAATTTTAATCCTCACAGTGATTGTCTAAGGTATAGCCCTCCTTCATCTTTTTACTTTACAAAATGAAGGAACAATTCAGAGTTTAAGAAACCTTAGGAAGCAATTGTGTATTTGTTCAAAGCAAGCAATTTGATTCCAGAGCCCAGCGTTCTTGAACACTGCACCCCTCTTTAAAAGGAGTAAAAAGAGAGAACAATTAGTGATGGTTACCTCACACGTGGCATTTTTTTTTTTAAAGATTAATTTATTTGTGCATACAGAACTGGGGTACAGGCCAGTGGCTCTGGGGCGGCGAGAGGCTTCACCATAGACAGAGTGGGGAGCAGAACAGGCAGATTGATGAAGTACACTGCTGAGGGGAGCAGTGGGCGGGTCAGGAGAGGTCTGCTGCGCCATGTGGTCACCTCCGGGGTGGGTGGGAATCGAACTTATGCGGAAGTGACTTTAGCTTCTCAGTGCTGTGCCTTAACCCGCTGCACCACCAGGAAGGGCCCAAGTGGCATCTTTTTTTAAAGATTTATTTATTTTTATTATAAGAGCTGGGTACAGGCCAGAGATGTGGCGGATGAGAGGATTCACTAGAGACAGAGTGGGAAGCAGAACAGACTGGTGTACTGAAATACATTGCTAAGGGGAGCGGCAGGTGTGACAGGAGAAGGCTCCTGCGCGTTGTGGGTCAGCCCCTGGTCAAGGAATGAACTCGTGCTGCAGTAGCTATGGATAGCTTTGTAGTGCTGATGGTTAATCCCTCACACCCACTAGGGAGCCCCCCTCCATGATGTTTTTTATCATTTCACCAATGTCATGATCAAGAGGTTTTTGGGGAGGTTTGTGGAGTTATTGTTTCCTCATCCTCAGTTTGCAGTTTCCCAAACTGTGTTGGAGAACTCCATAATTTTTTTTTTAAAGATTTATTTATCTATGCATATGCTGGGGTACAGACCAGAGGTGTGGGGATGAGAGGCCTCTGATGCTAATCAAAGTCATCAGAGATTTAATAATACACATGAATACCAAGTTTCTTAATTGGTAAGGAGAAATACAACTGAAAGGCAAGTGAGACACTGAGGTGAGCCGGCCAGAGCCTTCATTCCCAGTGGATAGTTAGGGAAGCCATTCTATTCCAGAAGGGGATGGAAAGTGGAGAGGTCTCTCCTTCAACAGATAGCTGGATGGATCTACCTTTCCTCGCAAGAAAGTTTTGCAGAGTAATACAGGTTCTTATTTTCTCTCTCTCTCTCTCTGTTTTGTTTTTAAATTTTTATTTATCTTTGCGTAGAAGAATTGGAGTGTAGGTCAGAGGTGGGAGAGCTCTGTCATGCCATGTAGGTCACCTCCCTGGCTAAGGATCGAACTCAGGCATTCGGGGTGGACTCTCTCAATGGTAGCTCTGAGCCTACTCCCTAGGCCATCAGTGAAGCCCAATTTCTTATTTCTCTATCTGAACTGTCATCCTTCTATTATGACAGAGGGATTGATATGATTAATTAACACTCAGTTTATCTCAGATTATTTGTTTTTTAGTGTCTGATGAGATTTTGGAAGTATCCTTTCATTAGCAACAGGCTTACAAACTCCCTTCAGGTAGGACACTTTGCACACAGCTAATTTCATTATTTGGTGATGCTGACTTTTATTTCATCCCCAATTTCTGAATCTGTGGCCTCTTTGGGCCTTGCTGTTCTCTCTTCTCTGATTATAGTCACCTTGTTGCCATTCTTTCCTTTGACTTGATTGTTAAATTCCTGCTTCCTTTCTTCCTATATAAAATTAAGTAAATCGTTTCCCACATGAAGAATTCAGGGTCTATATGACAGATCCTTAAAAATCTACTTTTCCTCAGAGAGCTTACTGGTACCCTATCAACAGAGTCAGAAACTTAATTTTCCTTTTTCATGTCCTTTTTCATTCCTTTTACAGTCATTAGATAGCTTTCTTTGTAAAGAACATGAGGTCCCACCTAACTGACTTCTCTTGTAATGCCTGATATATGAAATAGTTTAAATGTCCCTCTTGGCTTGATTTAATTTTGTAGGATTGGCAAACTGGCCCATGTACCAAATCTGGCCCATAGCTTGTTTGTGGATGGTCCTTGATCTAAGAATGGTCTTATATGTGATTGAAAAAAAATCAACAGATGTGTGGCGTTCAGGTTTCAAGTGCCCATGAATGAAGTTTTATTGAAAAATAGTCACACTTCTTCATCTGCTTGTCTCTGGCTACATTTGCATAACTACTGCAGAGTTGAATGATTTGTTACAGACCCACCATATGACCCACAAACTTAAGTTACACATCTCCAATCCTTATAGAAAATGTCTGCTAAGCTGTGGCCTACAGCTTAAAGTCATGTGAACCTTAGAAAATTTTCCTGAGAAAATTGGACCGGTGTTTCTTCCACAGAAGTTTGTCAAAAGCACTGTTGTTCAGTCATTAATAAAATATTCCTAATATACGATCATGTAACTGGATTTTAGAACATTTCCAACTTATAAACAAAAGAACTAATGTTGTGTGACAGGTTATCTCAACTTAGTTATCAGAACTTCTGAATTCAGCCCCCCCAAAAAGAAATCTCTCCTTTACTCTAATTATATTTCAATACTTGATGTATTTTTTGTGTCTTATGAATCATAGGTTGAATTTTGAAATTTTGAGTCTAAGATATTTGAGTTGTTTATTTTCCCTTTCTCCCCCTTCCTCTCTCTTCCAGTTTCTCCTTCTCTCCTTCCTACCTTTCTCCTGGTATTTAAACAGATTTTTTTTTAAATTCTTGGAAAACTGTGACCTATTCAGTCTCTGTGTTCTCTATTTCAATTCTGCTTTAAAAAATCCTTTAGATATTCAGGTACTGAATTGATTTCCCTTGAAATAGTCTCAGAGAAAACATACCTTTGAAACTCTCAAGCTTTTCTAGAACAGCCCAGTGTGACTTTTTAGCTGCTTTGGATAGGATGAACCAGAGGTCAGGACGTAAGTCAGATTCAGTCAGGGAATGGAGAACATGAAATTATCTGATCTCATCTAAGAAATGAAGAAAAGGCATTTTTGCCCTCACAGGAATTGAATAGGTTTATGTGGAGAGATTATGTTGACTCACCACAGTTCCCATCAGCTATGTGGCTGTTTAGACTTGTATTTAAAATTCTGTCTCCTGTTTTAAAATTTTGCTTTAATTATATCTCTTGCATGCTCTTTATCTTAATCTTGGGTTAGATCATTTTTTTCTTCTGCCCATTTACTTTTCCACCCTCCCATGAAGCTGACAAAATATAAAGAACATGTTTTAATTCGTGGAATCACTTAGTTAATGTATCCACCGACAATCTTAAGTACTTTTGAGGGGATTTTAGACTTTCAACATTGTGGTTTTAGGTTTAATTTCAACTGTCATTGGTCTATGATAGTTATTTCCAAATAGCTTTCTAGTGCCCCTCTCATTTTGTTCACATCATTTTCCTTGATTCCATCATTTTGGGCTTCAGAATAAATACAGAGTAAGAAAAACAAAGAAAATGTCCTGTTATATAATGAAGAGCAGGATAATTTTTGGAAATGCTCTTGGTACCTCATAAATAAATTATACTTCATTCTGTGTTCTTGGAATTAAAAGTTAACAATATGATCAATAGACAGTGAGAAAACTCAGGAGACTGTTGTACTAAAGTTGTATTTGTTGCTTAACTTGTTGGATTATCAGTGAGCATTGTAGCTGGGGTTAAGGCTACAGTATGGTACCACTTTCAAGATGTCACAGATTGTTTACACATATTCTTTTCAGGAAAATGAAAATTTGAAAGCTGTAGCACAGATGCTTTTGACTTTCATTTCCACTTCAATAAATTTACCCCACATAGATACTTTGTATGACTTGTAGGTCATAATTCATTTCCCAACCAGCCTCTCTGCTTCAGCCTAGTAAATGTCCCCAACTCTTTAAGGAGAGGGGGAGTAAGTAAACCGCCATTTTATTTTTATGGCAGGAAGAGTTGGTAAGCAAACATTGACATCTTCTATAACCTTTCTCTTAGTATCTTAGTATGTGGGAGGATTACTGACCAGAGATGGAGTCTCAGTGCAATTAAGCTTGCCAGTGGTATGAAGAGGGTCTTTAGTAAGGTCCAAACTACTGTGTTGGATGTGATGAGGTGGGAACAAGAACAGGACAGCTTTATAGATGCAGGGAGCTTATAAATAAATTGGGGAAGGATACACAAAGCCTTCAGTAGACAAGATAACCTGTATATGTCAGTGTCATACTGGCTAAAATGTTAACTTGTGTGAAACAGTCAATTGAAAAATAAATTAATCCTGTTATATACAGAACAAATACAAAAACTACATGAAAAGGAAGAGAGGTTAGTGTGAGGCAGAATGTTGGGGAGTGGAAAATAACCACTTCAGTGGCTATAATTCTATTATGTTTTTGTTCTCAGAGTTAAATAGCCCTCTTACCACAGTCTGAGATTTTAGTACATTAAAATGCTTGCTTATCCTATCCGATCTGCATTTGTGTGAAATATTGAACTTGTGAAATTCGAATATATCTCTGCAGTGGTGTCATGCTTTTATTTGCTAATGAGATTATTTTAGCCACTAGGAAGCTAATTAGCTTTGGTTCCACTAAAAGGATTTTGTGACTGGTTTTCACTTACAATGTGTAAGCTAACACAGTGAGTCACAAATGAGGTGATTCATTGTCAGCATTGGGACCAGAATCTAGGTCTTGTGTTTTAGCTCACTGTTCATAGGCTAAGCTAATTCAATTTATCCTGTTTCACAGTGGCAAGAAAAAAAGAAGACACGGCCTTCTTTATACAGAATATGTGCATGGGGAGTGTCTGAGGGTTTGACTCTAACTCTCAGAGTTTCCCTTCTAGGACTGGCTGGACCATGGCCCAGAATAAGCTATTCAATAAGATCCTCAAAGCCCTGCAGTCTGATCGACTTGCCCGCTTGGCCAACGAAGGGGTAAGATTCCAGAAATCTGTCCGTGGGGGGCTCTCCCTGGTTCTCACTGGCTTGACTAACTTGTTAGCCCCTCACCCCCAATCGTTAACAGGGCAGCCTTCATGTTTTTTCACCCCACCTAACATCTTTCAGGCTTGCAATGAGCCAGTGCTGCGCCGTGTTGCTGTGGACAAATGTGCAAGGAGAGTTCGACAAGCTCTGGCAAGTGTAAGCTGGGACACTAAATTGATCCAGTGGCTGCACACCACTCTGGTGGAGACCTTGAGTCTGCCCATGCTGGCAGCTTACCTGGATGCTTTGCAGACACTGAAAGGGAAGGTAAGGCCATATTTGGCTTCTCCCCCGTCCTGGGCTAGCCAGCCTCTGCTGTGGGTTCTGGAAGTGGGATTGGCAAAGCCATTGCCTGGTTAACCTAGAGGACATGATTAAGCTAACAGTGTGCTATTAAAAATAGGAGACATGGTGTCATTGCACGCTTCTGTCTGCTGTAAATGTCGTCAACCCTGCTGTCTCCATTGTGAAACCCAGAGTATAACTTTAGCTTCTGCAGCTCTGCAGCCTGTGGTTTAAGTCAACTTTGAGGTGAGGTGAGAAATTATGATGAAGAAGGTGAAGGATTTACCAGGGAATAGAGAAGGGGGCAAGAAGTAGATCGTGGGTGCTCAAAATATGAGGGTAAGGTGCGGAGATGGGCCAGAGCTACGAGGTGTGGTGGCCTCCTCCCTCTCTCCTCATGGGATGAGCCTTCAGTAGTGACACTCTGAATCTACTGGTGCCGTCTCTCACCCCCCACACCTCTGGCCTCTACCTCAGTTCTTGTATACATAAATAAATACATCTTTAAAAAAAACAAAAAAGGTATAGACCTTAGTCTTAATTGTTGAGAATGATGCAATGCTGGAAAGATCAGGGGAAGTTTGGCCTGACCAGCTCCAAGAAGAGAAGTTGGTTATTGATTGTAGGTATTCTCTATTGACAGAAAGTAAGTTATAGTGCTCTTTAAAAGCTTTTGCCATCTAATTCAAGTCTGATCTTCTGTCTCAAGGTGTTGAGTATCTCACAGCTACAGAGTAAATTACAAAGAAATGGCCAGTTTGGGTAAAGATCCTTTGACGTTTGGCCCTAGTCCATTACTAGCCTTATGCCCCACTTCCCTACTTGAATCCTCCACTTCTGTGCCTGGAGTAACCACTGCACTTTCTTGCTTCCATCTGGTGTCTTTGATTAGAAGGCTTTTTCCACATCTTCCGCTGTTGGAATGCTGAATCCAGCTCACTTCACATGGTACATCTTCAGAATTAAGATTGCCTGTTTGCTTCCCCTCTATGTTGGACTCAGCTCCGATTTGAACCAGCAGTGCAGGGCCTTTGTTTCTTTATGGCACTTATCTATCTCTCTTTGTTACTTGGATTTGTCTTCATATACCCTGTACTTTAAATCTTTACAGTAGTGAATTAAACTGAGAAAATCTCATGTTTATAGCCCCCTAATTTCTCATGCAGAAACCTTTTAAGTCTCCCTTTTTTTAAATTAGGAGCATTGTTCTTGCTTGTCATTGCCTGGAGCAACTTCTCTTATGTGGTCTGTGAGGTCACCAAGATAATTTTTATTCTCCAGCCTCAAAAACTTGTTTTTCTGAAAATTGTCTATAACATTCATTTGAAAATCTTTTCTTTCTCTTGGGTCATTTTGACCTTTTGTGAATAGCATGGGATTCACACAAAAATTTCTTAGTGTAACTATCAGCATGTCTGAGATCTGTTTACACTCACATTTTTGGTGGATAGTAAAGAATGACATGCATCAATATAAATCCGATATATACAGTATGGTGGGATATATTTTTGGTGGGGGCACACTAGCCCCCATAAACAGGTCATAGCTTGAAAACTATATGCTAGAAGAGTGCAGACTGTGTGTGTGTGTGTGTGTGTGTGTGTGTGTGTGTGTGTGTGTTTTAAGATTTACCCATTTATACACACAGAACTGGAGTATAGGCCAGAAGCGCAGGGACGGTGAGAGGCTTCACCAGAGATAGAGTTGAGAGCAGAATAGGCTGACTGATGAACTGCACTGCTGAGGGGAGCAGTGGGTGGGTCAGGAGAGATCTGCTGTGCCATGTGGGTCACCTCCATGGCTGAGTTGGCAAGGCTTTATCTTCATAGTGCTGTGCTCCAACCCACTGCACCACCAGGGAGGGCCCAGGTTATATATATATATTAAAGATTTATTTATGT